CCCCCCAAAACCTCGCCCTCTCCGTCCGTACCTGCATCTGCAGAAAACATCCCCAAAAGACAGATCAATGCCATTCACGGGCATTTGCTACACCTAACAAAGCCACTAAGCCTGCCCAAAACAACCACCACCAGCCAATCGCCGTCCTGCTTCTCCCCCAAAGTCAGCACAGCGGAGAAAACAGGCCGATCTTCCATTGATGCCTCTGCAAACAAACTGAGGGCCGGCGCCGCGTGATTCGCCTACCTAGCTTGCTAGACCCTTGTCTTGCCGCGCTGTTTCAGGGCCCTTTTTAGCACCTCTCTTGTGCCTGAAGGCTTGCGAGGCTTCCCCCCTTGTTCAGCCCCCCTCAGGGGACTTTGTGCCTTTCGAGCCTGCTTCTTCTTTTCTTTTCTTTTCTTTTTTCCTCAAGAGGCGCGGTATTCGAAACCTCGCCAGAGCAAGGAGCGCATCTGCCGCTGATCCTGTGGCTTGTTGGGTCTATTTGCCCGATGCTAGCGAAAAGATGGGTGCATCTCTGTTCCGGTTCATTGCGTGATTGCTGCTCAGCTTGTCCACTCTTATTCGGAAACACAAACGCCATTGACAAAGCTCAGCTCTCAAGCCCTCACAGTACATGATACGATTCCTCCACTATTGCTTCGAAATCGCAAATGCTACTGTATGGATATGCAGTGCTTATCAGAAGCCATAGAAAAAAATCTCTTCAAGCCGTGATCCATCCGCCGGTACATCGCACCGCTAACTCAACAGCCGGGATCCGCCACCAGAAAATCCGCCAACGGCGCCATGCCAGGCACAAACTCAATGGCCTCGTCGTTCCCGCTTGTGCTAAGAAAATGGGCCTCCACCTTGTTCCAAGCCGCTCCATACAGTACGGGTCTGACAGATGCATTAAAAAAAAGAAAGAAAGAAAGAAAGAAAAAAGGCCGGTAGCAAGCAAAAGCCTGCTTGCATATGCGTGCGTGTGTGCGTGTGTTCGGAAGGTTGACTGCAAGTGCCGGGCGTGGGATTCTCTTAGTCGACAAACATGTTGGGTTATTTATAGCGAAACGGCATAATGCCAACCGTTTCAGATGCGGCGTGTTGAACCCCCGTGTTTGGAAACCCTTTAGACGCTGAGATGGTGAGATCTCGCCTCCTTCTCGAGACCGTATTAGATGGTTTCCTTTCTAAAGAAAGAACCATCACGTATTTTGCAGGGCCAGATGATTCTTCCAGAATCGACAAGTCTATTAAACATCCAAATACCCATGATATTCCTCTAACCGCATCGCCGGTATCAATCCTGCATGTACAGCTCCGAGGTATCATCCATGATTACAACTGCTAAAAACTACGCCACGTTCCAGATATATAGCATTCCATCATCATCCGGGGGCTGCATTAACCATCCTGCTTAATCCTCATCCATGGAGTCTCCTTCCTCTTTTTCCTCCTCTCCCTCATCTTCGCTTGAACTGCTCTCGTCATCGTTCACGCCGACCAGTCGGTCTTCGGAAATACCCTCCCTCTGTGCGGGGACACGCTGAGCAAAAGCACTTCGGACGCCGGCGTTGGTGCTGGTATCCCAGACGTGCATGCTGCCGGAGCTGCCAGCAACTGCCAGTCGGAAAGCAACCTCTGGATCGGGAGCAAACGTCGTGGCAAACACCTTACCCACGTCCAGGTTGCGCGAGACGACAAGTGAAGGGCCGGTGGGCTGAATGTTCCACAGCTTAACCGTCTTGTCAGTCGACCCGGTAGCCATGAAACCGGGAATCACGCTGTTGATGTCAAACGAGGACACAGACTCGTCGTGCGCCTGCAGGGTCCACACAGCCTTGGTCGCCTCTGGGCTTGATGGGGCGTTTCGGACATCGTGATAGTGAATGACGCCGTTTTCCGTTGAGACGTAAAAGTAGTTTTGATCATGGGGGTCCCATCGAATATTCTCCACGTCGCTCTCGACACCCCATCGAGGTGCCTTTGCATCGGGCGCTCTCATGTCGGCCGCGACAACTGTTCGGTCATAGCTTCCGCTGAGAAGGACAGTGGGCTCAGCTGTGTGCCATGCGAGAGAGCACACCTTGTCGGTGTGGTATGAATATGACTTGGCAGCTTTAGCCGTGTTGAGGTCCCAGAGCTTGATCGTCTTGTCCGCAGATGCCGAAGCGAGCAGGTTCCGGTGCTTGCGGTTGGCTGCAAGAGACAGAACGGCATCCACGTGGTATTCGTCGTTCGCCTTGGCCTTCTTCTTCTTCTGCTTCTTCTTCTTTTCGCCCGACTGGGGATTTGCGCCCTGGCCAAGAATGGCGTTGGGGTACATGCAGTCGACTGTGTCAAGATCCCAAACCTCAATGTCAGGGTCCATCGTACCAACGGCGACGAAATTGCCCCTGCCATCCTTGGGTGCGTCTGTTGAATTGTTGACCGGAATGTCGAGCCACTCCACGCAGAGGGGAATTGCCGGCAGCATGATGTCGTGGTGAACGTAGAGGTTGTCGCCTTCGTCTTCGTAAACATAAACCTCCAGGTGGGCCAATTCGTCTTCGACCTTTGCCGACAGAATCAAGTTGTCAGTCGTCAAGACTTGAAGATCCTCTCTGTCCTCGTCCTCTTCGTCGTCCTGCAGTGTGATATAAGGGTCGTCCTTGTTTGACTCATAATACGCAAGTGACTTGACGTTTCCAAACATGCCCATGCTTCCGTTGGCGGCGGGTGCATCGTTTTCGTCGTCGTCATCGTCGTAGTGTTCCAAGTCATATTCTTTCAGGTCGTCGTCGTCGTACCTAGTTAGTTTATTAGAAAGAGGGTTCGAATGTTGAACGAGCATAAAAAGGCTGATCAATCGTACTTTGAAGCAGGCTGGGCTTCGCCTTTTGTCTCTGCTTTCTCGCCCATGTCCTCATCCTTTCCTTCATCTTCTTCCTCTGCGTCTTCGCCGTCTTCCTGAGCTTCTTTCAGATCATCCTCTGCGTCGTTGAGCTGCAGCTTAGCCAATTCAGCTATTCTCTCGAATTCAGACTCGTCAAGCTTGTAGACTTGAGGAAATTGTGCCGCGAAGCCGCGCGGCACCCACTGGGCAGCGGTGATCATGGAAGACATGGCGCAAATGCCTGGGGTATCTTGAATTCGTTTGCAGTGTAACTTTTTTTTCTCTATTCGCAGACTCGCTCCAAATATTTTGCCCAAAAATTTCCATGGTGGGGTTTATCGATAAGCGTCCGATGGCACCCTTGACAGAGCTGTGGAGCTTCGGTGTCTCCAGGTTGTACAGTAGAGATCCATGGATGCCATTTCAGGAACAGCATGCCTATAACCAACTATAGCTATAGCTTGAATGTTCACAACAGCATCACACAGAAGTTTAACACGTCGAATAACCGAAATTACAAAGCACCTCACGCCTTGAGAACGTATCTGAAGGAAGCAATGTCTACAAGTTCAGGAGTAGCTGCAACAAGCTGTCTGAATGCCACCTTAGTCACATGATTTAGTGAGCCCCTACAGTGCTCTACGGTGGTATCGGCGCTACAAGTACCTGAAATACAGTAGAATCACTGTGCGTGCACTGCCCATCTTTTCCTGTTTTCTCTAGATTTAGACTCCCATCATTTCACCTCGTCGCGCTGCCGCTACCTGACGCATTACCGCGATCCAAGGGCTCAATCATGGTGTCGGAAGCTGACTACGACGGGTTCAATCCCAAACGGAGGAGGCTCGAATTCTCCAGATCCAGGGGCAACAAGTACCAAGATGGATCTCGAAGCTCTACACCACGCGACCAGTCTCGGTATCCTTCAACGCCTCGAGAGCCCGACCAACCCCAGCCAACAGAGGAAGATTCTTTAGCGCTGGATCGCGATTGGTACGGCGGCGACGAATTCGGAGGACACACGTTTGGCGATGAGGCGTATAACCCGTTCGCATCCTACGAGCTTTCGGCATGGGAGAGCCAGCAACAGGAGTCGGCCAAGGCCGAGAAGATGACGAGCCGATATGACGCCAGGCAGGAGCAGAGAAGGCGAGAAAACGATGCCTGGGAAACCAATCGTATGCTGGTATCCGGCGTAGCACAACGAAGAGATCTGGCCGCCGACTTCGACGAGGAGGAAGCAACCAGAGTTCACCTGCTCGTTCACGATTTACGGCCGCCATTCCTTGATGGAAAGACAATCTTCACCAAACAACTCGAGCCAGTCCCGGCCGTCAGGGACTATCAAAGCGACATGGCCGTCTTCAGTCGGAAAGGAAGCAGGGTTGTGAAAGATGCCCGCCAGCAAAGAGAGCGGCAGAAGCAGGCACACGAAGCTACGAGCATCACGGGCACAGCTCTCGGAAACATTATGGGGGCTAAAGAGGAGGATGGTGATAGTGCGCTACCGATGCCTGGCGAGGAGGATGTCGAAAAGAGCGAACGCAAGGGCAACAAGTTCAGCGAGCATATCAAGAATGCGGAAGGGGCCAGCGATTTCAGCAAGAGCAAGACGTTGCGCGAGCAACGAGAATACCTGCCCGCATTTGCGGTCCGCGAAGAGCTCCTACGAGTGATACGGGAGAACCAAGTGATTATTGTCATCGGCGAAACGGGCTCAGGAAAGACAACTCAGCTCACCCAGTTTCTGTACGAAGATGGCTACGGGAAGACTGGTATGATTGGGTGTACGCAGCCGCGACGAGTGGCCGCAATGAGTGTTGCCAAGCGTGTGGCCGAAGAGATGGAAGTAAAGTTGGGGAGCACGGTTGGATATGCCATTCGATTCGAGGACTGCACCAGCAACGACACCACCATCAAATATCTGACGGATGGAATTTTACTCCGAGAGTCACTCAACGAACCTGACCTGGACAGATATTCCTGCATCATCATGGATGAAGCTCACGAACGGGCCTTGAACACCGACATCTTGATGGGACTTTTTAAGAAGATATTGCAAAGGCGGCGAGATTTGAAGCTCATTGTCACGTCTGCGACGATGAATGCAAAGAAGTTTTCTGACTTTTTTGGCGGTGCCCCTGAATTTACGATTCCGGGACGAACTTTTCCCGTCGACGTCCTGTTCCACCGATCTCCCGTCGAAGATTATGTTGATCAGGCAGTCCAACAAGTACTCTCCATCCATGTATCCATGGATGCCGGCGACATTCTCGTGTTCATGACCGGTCAGGAAGACATTGAAATCACATGCGAGCTTGTTCAGAAACGCTTGGACGCTTTGAATGATCCGCCAAAATTGAGCATACTCCCAATCTACAGTCAAATGCCAGCAGACCTGCAGGCTAAAATCTTTGACAGGGCGGCTCCAGGAGTTCGCAAATGCATTGTTGCGACAAACATTGCCGAGACAAGTTTGACTGTCGACGGTATCAAATACGTTGTTGACGCAGGCTACTCGAAAATGAAGGTGTACAACCCAAAGATGGGCATGGATACCCTTCAGATTACGCCCATCTCCCAGGCCAACGCAGGGCAGCGTTCGGGTCGCGCTGGTCGAACAGGGCCAGGAAAGGCGTTTCGCCTGTACACCGAAAAAGCATTCAAGGAAGAGTTGTATATCCAAACGATTCCCGAAATTCAACGGACCAATCTGTCCAACACGGTTCTGATGCTGAAATCGCTCGGAGTCAAAGACTTGCTGGATTTCGACTTTATGGATCCACCTCCCCAAGATACCATTTCCACGTCCATGTTCGATCTATGGGCCCTAGGAGCTTTGGACAACCTGGGAGAACTGACCGAGCTCGGGCGGAAGATGAGCGCCTTCCCCATGGACCCTCCCTTGGCCAAGCTTCTCATTACTGCGGAAGAGTACGGCTGCAGCGAAGAAATGGTTACGATTGTATCCATGCTATCGGTGCCAAACGTGTTTTACCGGCCAAAAGAGCGGCAAGATGAAGCTGATACGCAGCGAGAGAAGTTTTGGGTCCACGAGTCGGACCATCTTACCTACCTCCAAGTGTATTCGGCATGGAAAGCCAACGGATATTCGGACGGATGGTGCATCAAGCATTTCCTTCACGCCAAGTCTCTAAGACGTGCAAAGGAAATTCGAGAGCAGCTCTTGGACATTGTCAAGATGCAGAAGATGCAACTGATTAGCTGTGGCATGGACTGGGATGTTATTCGCAAATGCATCTGCTCTGGATACTACCACCAAGCGGCCAAGTACAAGGGGTCCGGCGAATACACCAACTTGAGAACAAATCTCGGAGTGCAGCTGCACCCCACAAGTGCCCTGTACGCTGGCCATCCACCGGATTACATTGTATATCACGAACTCATCTTGACGTCCAAAGTCTACGTCTCGACCGTCACGGCAGTTGACCCTCACTGGTTGGCAGATCTGGGCGGCGTCTTTTACTCCATCAAGGAGAAGGGCTATTCAATTCGAGACAAGCGCATCACCGAGACGGAATTCAACCGCAAGATGGAGATTGAGGCGAAAATGGCGGAGGACAAGCGCCTTGACGAGGAGCGTAAACTGGCCGAGGTTGAACGAACGGTCAAGAAAAAGTCCGACAAGGACGAAAAGAAGTTTACCGTTCAAGGTGCGGTAAAGAAGCCAGTGATCAAGAGACGGGGAAGAGGGTTCTAGTCTTGGATTGGGTAATTATGATGTATATTTCATGTGGATAGGTTATTCTAGCATAGCGTAGGTCTTGGGACATTATTTTGATCGTTTAATAGGCATCATTTGCATGATTCTTTCAACGACGGACTTCGAACGGACCATCCCCTTCCACGACGTCGCGTTCTTCCTTGACAACCTTTGTGACATTGGCATGGCTTGGGCCTTTGTTGATATCGTTGAAGAACATTTGCATGATATCATCGCTGCCCTGGGCTTCACCCTCGACCTGTTGGTGGCATGCATGAGCTCTCAGTTCTTCTCCCACAGGGAGGATAAACCCACCGTGTCATCGATGGTGTTGCGGCACCATCCGGTTACACCATACTGCTGGGCTTTCTTTCTCGTAAAGTACCTATGACTGATTAATCTCTAGGCGCAGTCGAGAAGGCTGAGTGTGATGATACCGAAATCCCACGCCTTGCGGAACTGATGTTAGCTAGCGGGAATCGATGACAGCATCCCTTCACTTACCTTGGACAAACCCGTGAACCTCAAAGTACACCTAGAGAAGCAAGTAAGAAGCCGCACGCAATATTTGAAGCGTGTCAAAAAAAAAAACATACTCTTTTCACCATTTCTAATCAATGAATCTGGTTTATCTCTTGTGTCTCATTGGAAAGAATCCCATTGTTGTGTTCTCACTGTCCTACAGTAGTCTATCAGCTATTAATAGGTAGTCATCGGCTAATCACCGGATATGGAAACTATGAAGTCACCACAACTCGCCGCCTTAGCCCAACTTCCTACCTGGGAAACCTTTCTTCTAAAAGTTTCTTATCTCTACAACTCAAGGTTCACAACCATGGAACCAGACCAAGACGAAAACACACCAACCACGGAACCGATCCGCTTCCGCGCCGGGAAAAAGAGAAAGGCATATCGCCAACGACCTACCGAAGAAAAGGGCCATGACGTAGCGACCGTGATTCCAGCTCCGTCCGTCCTGCCAGGCGCGTCGACGCTTCAGGATGGACGAGACGCAACCGACGACGCCAACGCAGAAACGCAACCGAGAGATGTTGACATGGATAACAGCAATGATGATGGCGATGACGATGGCGACGATCGAATGGATGGGGAATCAGCCGTGGCAGCTGCGTTGCGCCTCCGCAATGCGCGCCGCGCAGGTCGTCGAGGAGGCGTGGGCTTCCGCTCAGAAGGCCGAAACCAAGACGAGAACGGCAACGCAGACGCAGAGCACGCGCTGGTGCTCCGAGACGCAGACAGAGACAGAGACGCCGCGCACGACCGCATCGTCGGCGGCATCACCAACCGCTTCATGCACCAGACCGGCCTCCTCACCATCCTCGACGACAAACACATGTACGAAGCCACTTTCCCCCCAAAGGCACCAGAAACCTTTCGAGACAGCTAATCATTCAGGAATGAATACATAGAATCCCGCCTCGCTAACCGCTCCGCCGACCCCCACGGCACATCTCCCTCCTCATCACAGCCCGCGTCCCACTCCGCGACCAACACAAGTTTCGCCGGCGGTCACAACAACCACCAGGATAAGTGGCGCGACCAGCCCACCCGCCACGGCAAGCTCGTCGAGGTCGACATGGCGAACCTCGACAGCGCAAGGAACAACCACAGCAGCGACAGCAACAAGCGCCGCCGCGTCGAAAAGGATGCCGTCGCCAAGCCGCCTCCTCGCCGCGGCCGCAACCGCCGCAATAGCCAGGACGTTGCGCGCGATGCCCTCGTCGAGCAATTCCTTCATGAAAACCGCCGTGAGCTTAACCCCCTTTTTTGTCGTAACCAACAGCCTTACTGACAGACCACATCGCAGTCGACGTCTACAACGTCCCCTCCTCCTCAAGGCCAACAGCTTCTTCCGCCCCCGGCGCAGATCCCTCCGCCGACGACCGCCTCGCCGAGGAGTTCCGGCAGCAGTACTACGACGAGCAGGCCATGCGCCGCAAGAAGAAGCGTCCCGTGCAACAGCAGAAGCAGCAGCAGCAGCAGTCGGGCGATGTTCTCAAGGGCCCCAAACTCGGTGGCAGCAGGAACATGAGAGCAGCTGTAAGAGACAAACTGCTGCAGCAGGAGAAGGAGAAGAAGGGCAAGTAGCCCTATTTATGCTCTCTTGTCGTGAAGTAACTACGACTCTCCCGTCAGCCAAGAGCTCCGAGAGAATCCGCAACCTCATAATGACAGTATTATAAAAAGAAATTGGAACTTAGCGTGTGTATTTCAAGGAGAAACAAAGGTCACTAGCAGAGCAGTGTCAAACCAACAATTGGCATAATCATTCATTGACTGTCTTGGATAGACCCCAGTCCCTAACCATATAATTCCTATTCATGACCCAAACCCAATAGATTGAAATCCCAACGTCATAAAAAAACGTGCAACTGTGCCAGCCAGGTTACCCAACAGAACCCGTATCTGATCTCATGTAATAACGCCGCAGCACTTTGAAACCCAATATATCCAAAAAAGAATGAAGCCATAACCAAACAAGAAACGAAAAAGAAACAAACCGGTTGAAAATCCCATACGAGGGACCGAATGGACTGTTTTTTGCCCGAAAAAAAGGGGGCGGCCAAGGCAATTGCTCCGAGGCGGGAAAGGAAAATAGACCTGTATCAAGGTTCCCGATGCGCCTGCCAGTGGCCTCTGTACGGTGGCGCCAAAGATGCAAATAAAAGACTGATGCGTAGAGAGAAAACAAGAAGAAGAAACCCAGCGTTGCCCATAAAAGAAAAAAAAAAGAAAGCAAAAGAAGAAGAATCATTCATCTAATGTCAAGCTGAAAGGGCTTGTACCGACCACCGATTGTCGCGCAGCGAGGGCACTTCCTACGAGCTCCATGCTCAGACATGAGGACTTCAACGCACGACGAGCACAGGCCGCATATGCACTCCGTACAGGCATATGAATTCTTAAGCAGGGATATGCCGTGGCAGGCGGCACAGTATATCTGGATATTCTGCGAGTTGTAGCTCGGTGATGAGTCCGACAACCCGCGAGATCCAATGTGAAAATTATCCCCGCTTTCGCCGCTCTCGACGGACGGGAAAGGCTCAATCACATCCTGATTGTACGAGGGTGGCGTCAAAGCCTGTTGCAGAGGAGAAGCTTGATAGTTGTTGCTGGCAGACTGGAATTGGTGGTGACTAAATGGAGGCAGCGATGCTCTGTGAATTGAGACTGGCGATTGAGGCATCTTTTATAAGAGACACAGTCAGCAAACGAATTAATAAACACATTATCTGATTTACTCACCGGAGTGCGGTCCTCGTCAATATCTCCTGCTGCAGATGCGGCCTGGTCCGCGGCATCAATCAAGTCTTCCCATCGTTTGCCGTAATCTGTCCACGGCTCGGCAGAGAGAGCCTTGCGGTCATGGCCACTTCTGTATCGCTCTTCGTTCTGAATACGTCGCAGCCAATCAGAGCCACGTGAAGGCTTCTTCCTGTGATGGGATTCTCGGCTTTTCTTTGATATAGACTGCTTGCGAGGCCGGCTCGGTCCCAAGGGCCGTTGGAGCGGAGGCAAAGTTGACGACCGCCCAGGTGGTGAAGCTGCCAAAAGGGAGGGGAGGATTTCGCGAGGCCTGTTGGAATACGGGTCGCTCGTGATGTTGCTGAGATTCAGAGGCGGCAGCTCGATGGATTTTCTCGGTCTGCGCCGGCCATCTAAATCGGAATAATATCCCTGTAGTCATGAAAAGCGCAGCGTTAGCAGCTATCGCAAAGCACCGTGGGGAAAGCTCCCGTCATCAGCGCTATCGTCGTGAGATAATAGATAAGGTATTCATCCCATCTATTTATCGATAGACGGCGGGGTACGCTTGGAGGCCATTCTTCACTTACACCATCCATATCTAGCTCTCTCTCAGACTTGACGCCATGGAGCTCGGCCAAAACAGCCGCTGCGCTGGCCGTTCCCAAGATGGAGCTGGTCCCGGGTAGTTTCTCGTCGGGCCGCGGAGTGCCGGGATTGCTAGATTCATCTCTATAAAACGAATGGCGATCATGAAAGCCTAGGGACCAATCGTTAGTCTGTGATTCTGGCAAGAGATTGCGGTGGGAAAAGGGAGCTTGGGCGCACTTTGAGTGGCTGAGGGTGTTCCTTCATTCTGGCGGCGATCTTGCGGCGGGGTGCTGATCATAAGCAGAAAGCTTTCTTCGGTCGCTGGAAGCTTGGATATGTAGTGCTCCGGGTGTGCACGGCGGATGTGCTCTTGCATAGATCGATATCTCTTTTCCTATAGTTGGAACGTCGCGTTAGAGGTCTGTGCCATGGTTCACAGTGCCATTGAGAGCTTCTAGTGCGGCTGGTGGTGGCGGAGGCTGAAAGTCCGAGTGCTTGCATGCATGAATGCATGCGTGTATGACAACAGAGCCTTTCTGGCGGTGCCAGCGTAGGATCGGACAAACGGCAGAAGCAAGGCAGAATTGAAACTCAAGGGAGAAAAGGGCTGTGGGGAGAGGGAAGCGGATAGCTGCAGGAGGAGAGGGAAGCGGCCCTGGGACAGGGCAACCAGTACTCACGCCGATGCATCGTTTCCGACAGCTTGAGCCATCTTGATTTCGGAGCGGGCAGACAACCTCGTTGTTGGAGTCTGTGATGGAAAAGGACGAGGTGAGGGACGATCGCGGCGGCATTTTGAATCCGAGTAAAGAAGACAGCAACTCTCGTTGGAGGCAATGGCGCCGTAAAGGAAGAAGCCAAATCTAGGTAGGTTGCTCAATCGAGCCGATGAAGAAAAACGATCAACAAAAGTCGTCGAATTCGAGGGCGGCGATCGCGAGCACGACGTTTTGAAGCTCGATTCGCCGCCTAGCTGCTGGTTTCCTCGGCTCAAGTTGCGTGTGAGTCTGGAAAGATGGATAGTACGAAGCGCCAAGAAGGGAAGAAATTGAGCTTCAGAGTATGCGTAGCGGCCAAAGCTGGTTTTAAATGTGCTCTCGGCTTAACCCGCCGAGTCAAAGTTGCGTCGACGACGCTGCAAGATGCAGCTAGTGAAAAGTAACTTGCGACTTGGCTTGAGTTGTGAGTCTGAAGCTTTTCCTTGGCCAAATCGTCCAGAATGTATATAATTGTAGGTATGCGGCTATGCAGGTCAAGTGGGTTTTCCGGAAACGACAAACTGAGCGGCACGGCCGAGGTCCAGAAACAGATGGCCGAGAAGGTATAGCGATGCGTAACGGGATAGAGAAATAGCTTCAAGCTGAGTAGAAAGGTATAGCAGGATTGATTGTATCTGTTAAGAGGCGAATGTGATGTAGATAGATGGTAAGGTTTAAAAAAAAAAGTATGAGAGAAGGAGAGAGTATGAGATGTAAGAGGTACGACGAGGGCAAGAGGTTCAGGTAGATGAAGGTACTACAGGTGGATTCAAGTAAATGAGAAGGAAACCCGATTAAAGGTAAAGCAAGGTAAGAAAGAGGATAAGGATGAGCAGAAGCTCAAGTCCGTGGAAAGCTCGCAGATTTCTCTGCCAGCGTCAATGTGTGGGAGAAGAAATGGGGAGGGGAGAGTTTTGGATCGTAAAAGTACAGTGTAGGGGATTAGAAAATAGCAGCCGGACCAGCGCTGGAGACGAGAGCTATCCTAAGTAAGTAGTTTGGCCTGGCCGCAGCACTCCATGTTACAGTGGCGGCGCTCAGATGGATTCGGCTCTGCTCACGGGGACTGGCTGCGGATGGCATCGCCCGGACCCAGGAAAAGCAAAAAGAAAAAAATTGGAAAATTATGAGAGAGAGCCGGACAGAGGCTCCATGCATGTACGCAGTACTTCGTCTGAGCTGACGGCAAGAAGGGCACGAGCGCTGCAAGTGACCAAGCACGCACGTACAGGATACCCAGGACCTCGAGCAGCACGCACAAAAGAAGCGTCACTGGGGCACTCGGCTTGCTCGACCAAAGTACAGTGTACACGCCCTGGGGCCGCCGGAGAGCTCTCACACAACATGAAGTACTATAGTCCTTGTCCAAGCACAAGCACAAGTACCTACAAGCACGAGTAGGGCACCCCGGGAGAGGGGGAGTGAGCGAGAGGCAGGGCGTGAGGAATGTGTGTGGGCAAAAGCGCGCTTCTGACATTCGTCTCAATGCACAAGTATGGAGTCTGGTAGCAGGTACCTAGGCCCGCTCCCCATCGTCTCTGTGTGCGCATGCAGCAGAAGGTCCCTTGTGATCTGCTAGAGGTTTCTGCTTCAAACCCGGACGAGGTGGCGAGCCAATGGGGAGCTTGGGGTTAAGCTCTGGCGCCCCCCTGCTGGAATCGAGAGAGAGAAGAGGCTCCACTGGGAGCTGTCTGGTTTCCCTCTTACTCCCTCTCGCTTCTCTGTCGTTTCTTCATCTTCCTGTTGCTCGTTGGTACTCCGTAATAACAGCACAGTATTCCGAGAGGAGCTGTGATAATGCCTCGTACAGGTTCCCCGTCCTTGGTTTATACTTCGTACTGTACACGAACGGGTTCGTTTTTTTGCTGGCAACAGGTGTTGGTACCACAACCCTAAGGGACCACTAACCCCAGGTCCTGGTTGGTAGAAGCAGGTACATTCTCACTTTTGCCCACCGTCCCGGTGCCGTTTTCTCACAAGCGCCAAATCTCGTGGCAAATCATGGCATCTCGCAACTACAATGACTCGGCATTGGCGGGGCGGCATCGCGCAGCGCAATGCTGCAGTCTGTCTGCAGATTCGAGCAGGCAATGTTGCTGGCTGAGGTTTCGAGCTGACTGGCCATTTGAGTGGGGGCTGGCTGTTGTTCTGTTCGCGAACCAGGGGAGCTTTATCAGCTTGCTGAGCTCCCCAGTGGCCATTGATACACCCGCTCAAGTGCAATACGGGTCTGCCATCCGCCCTTGGGGGTAGCCAGTGCCGTGTGAGGCGCGGTTGGCGGCTTGCCTGGCGTAGCTCCGAGCCCAAGCTGAGAAGGACAAGAATGCATTATTTGGCTTTTAGTTGAAAGTATTGGCTCCCTTTTTTGCCGCTTGTCTCGGGGTTGTTGGACTTTGCTCTCGTGTGAAGCATATCCGTATCCAAGCCAAGTTATCCCTCAATCATGACATGCTCATGCCCTTGTGCCAAGCTACTGCCTATCCTTCCTAGTCAGGCAAGCAGATAGGACGATAAGCAGCGGTCGAAGCAGGGAAGGGAAAAGGACCGCCTTGGTCCGGCATACATGCACCAAGGCCTGCTACAGTGTCCATACTGTACGGAGCAGGCCTGGCCGAAGATGTGCGTGTTGAAGAAGAAAAGAAGAGGGAAGAAAGGCCGTCTCCCGCCAAATGCAAGCCGCTTCTGGGTCTGAGGTCTGGCACCGGCGGGTCCGTAGGCGTCATCCAAGCCGTTCTCCCACTTCCGGCTGTCTTGCAAAGAGTTAAGCTTGCGCTTGGCGCCTGTAGCTTGGCCGTCACACTCGAACTGAACTGAAGCTGCTGGCTGCCCTCTCGCAGACGCATGGGAAGAGTTTCACAGGGTCGGGCTGGCCGGGCTGGCGTCTGAACCGTGGTTCCAACGTGGTTTAGCGAAGGCACCTGAGTAACAGCCGTGCTGAGTCGGTCGGTGTGCGGCGCTGCGAGTCAACGAGGGCCATACAGCTAGTGTGTTGGCTCGGTGGCGGCAGCGTGTGGGCAGAGCAAGAGGGAAAATTTTGTTCGGTCGCGACACAAGTATCTGCTACCTGGGCGAGTACCTCTGGCAAAACTGCAGCAACGGGAAGCCAGACAGCGGCATACCTTTCTGGCGCAGGTATCGTATCCTTGAAGCGCCACTGCGCCGTCATCAACCTAACAGGGCGACTGACATCACTGGTGTGCCAGGGTCCGAGTGGTCTGCACACCATGAAACTGACGTGCAGCCGACTGGGTCGGGGTCGGGGATCGGAGAGGGCCCTTTTTGGGTCTTGTCAGGCAAAGCGAGTCGTGAAGGAGCTTGCCCGAAGCACAGTAGACGAGAGAAGCGAAACAAAGGACGGAGATGGGCTTGCCCGGAGAAGTAGTTGTAGGTAGTTGTACGAGGCAGAAGACGAGCAGCGTGGTGGTGATGGAAGCTGTACTGTAGGTTGCAGCGACATGATCGGTGTGCTTGACCGAGCCTGTCCATGCTCACGTTCCACGGCATAGCCCCTCCGGACACGAGCTATTTGCATACTGACCTGAGGTTGAGTTGACCTTTTTCCAGAACTCGGACTGCACAACTAACAGCACTCAATCGACTTGATGCTATTGTAGCACAAGTCACATATCAATAGCGGGAGAGCATGTGGCTCGTAGTTGATTGAATTGTTTGTTGCAAACCTTGGCGATCTAAAGCTCCAGCTGATGCCGTACAGACAGGTTCAGCGCGCGCCGGAGCACAATAGCAGCACAATAGCTGCAACAGCGTCTCTCTCTCGTCAGCCCATCCATCCCAGCAAGGGACGCTTGTGGCTTGCCAATCACAGCCGCCAGATGGCCTCTGCTTTGTGCGCATTATACAGGTCAGGTACATGGGATGAGATGGGATGGATGAGCGAGTCCCGTGCTTCTTCTTCTTCGTCTTCTTCTTCTCTTCTTCTCATTGATTCAAAGGCGGTGACCCCGCGCCATGCTATTCCCAGCGGTACCTGTACTCCGTAATGTACCAGCTACCTACCGGCCGTAGCTCAGCCAGTAATAGCCCGCCTACCGGCCGCTCTCAAGGGTCCTCCCCCAGCTCCTGCCTGCAACTGCTGCACTTTGACTCCTGCACCCACCTGCCTAGGTACCCAGTACCGTATACGCACACACACACCCATAGCTCTTGTTCTGGTAGGTACTGGCTGTGTGCTTGCTCTTGCCTCAGCTCCCATTCATTCCGTAGCTTGCTTTGTTTTGGGTAAGGAGTTGCGATGTGCTCTTGTCATCTGCTGTCAGCTACACCTTAACAAGTGCATGTTCTGGTACCCTCCATGTTCCGAGTACACCCTGCCTTAGTACCTCTAAGGAAAATATTGTCCTCTCTCAAGCGCCCCCGGTGGTCCTACAGTACCCAGTACATACAAGTACAGTCCCTCGACCTTCCATGCTACTGCAACCGCAGGGTGCTTTGGCTTCCCTCGGAAGGAAGGCGGGACTTACGCACACGCACTGTGACGCTGCACCTTCTTCCCTTCTTCGCTCTCCACGTCCCCACCCGGCTGCACTGGCAACTGCAACCGCACTGCAACCGCACTTGCCCGCGCTATGCTGATGGGGCCCCTCCGCGCCTATTGTGCCTGGAGTCCCGTGCGGAAGTAACTCTTTAGCGTCCAGTTCAGATGCCCACTGCCACGATGCAAAAGGCGCGATGGCCACTTTGATACATTGATACCTGTCACTTTTTTTTTTTTCCCTTTCTAAATCAATCCATTTCCACTTTGGCCCATTCATTTCGATTCGGCCGTTACATGCGCTTCGGTACCTTGCCTTATCACCTCAGCATTTGGCCGGCAAAAGCAAGACGCCTCCGATAGTGGCAGCCGGTTTTTGCTTCATGGTGGGATTTTTTTTTTGGTCCGTTGCCCTGAATGGCCTGGGTCTTTTCAATTGCGAACTACTGGAACTGCTAATTAAATTGTTAGATTGAGGTAGACCAAGAGCATCTGAAGCTTGGTGCCGTCAATTGCTTTTGAGTTGAGATTCAATATGACTACCTCGGAGTAATACATGTCGACATAGCTCCAGTAAAACCAAGGGTTCGAACGCAAGCTGGGTTTAGCATCATTTGGTCCGGCTCCGTAGTTTGGACTCGGACTCCGTACGGAAGTGGGCACGGCTTATATAGAACGAAACGATGTTGGCCACGCAAAAAAAGACCCTCATCTGGAGCTCCAGAATTGGGAAAAGATGCTACGGACTTGACTCAACCAACATGCCAGTCGCTATTCAGTCAATTGGGCCGTTTTATCCACAGTCTTGCCGTCCGATGATAGGAATGTTGTTCCTCGACAAGACTCTCTTGTTGTGAGACATTACCAGTTACTGACTTGTAGTAACATCTCCCTTTGATAAGTTGGGCAACTCCCGGAACCGTCCTGTTCAATCACTCTATTCAGCTTGATGTTTCCGGTAGCTGAAGAGCATTCCTTGTCCTGGCAATGTTGAGCCGTGATTGTTTTCCCAGATATGAATAAGTCGTGAATCCTTGATGTAGTCAACATCATGGAGAATATGCACCCCTTTAAACCTCCAATCTACGTGTTCACTTTCACAAGCCCTGCCATCATGGCATTAAACATATCCAAAGTCTGCTCAGCCGACTCATTCCTCCTAACATTCAGCCCCCTAGAAGGCAGCATCCGCGATCCCTTCCACATCCTCCTCGACCCCGTGCTAGAAGAACCAGCAACCAATACCCTCCTTCATCATCCTCACAGCAGACACATCCCCTCGATAAGCCACATCCCAACACCAGATCTCGTCATACTCACTCAACGCAGAATCACGCCTCCCCTCGAAGCTGCATTACGACACATTGCGCTCACAACTACGAAAACCATCATCTTGACCGACGCAGCAACGGCCAGGACGCTCCGCACATGGAAGAACTTCGACATCAGCATCGTCGGCGCGCTCTCCCCGTGGCTAGATCCGCGTCTAGTAGGAGAAGATAGAGTAGCTCGTCTACCGGTTCCCCCATGCTACATCGGCGGCGACCGCGGCGAGGTGACGGTCTCTCTTATCCCCCAGAGGGGCTTCATGAAAGGCGGCCGCGCAGCCATGGGCATCACATATCGTCCTTCGCCCTCAAGACCGTCTCCCTTTCGACGAGTCGTCACCATGCCCGTGACAACTCCCGGACCAACCATATCAACACCGCCGCCTCAACTTCTGGCTTCTCTTCCAGTGCCGTGTATAGGAGACTTGACCGCCAGGCTCGTCCCTCCCACACCTCCGCTCACCCCCAAACTACCACAGCCTCCTCCAAAAGATACAGACACGGGATTACCGCCGCCTCGTTTCCCCGGCAAGACTCTTTCCGTGATATTCTCGCCGCGAGGCACATCGTACAACAGCATAAAGCCCTACGCAACCTCCCATCTCGTATCTGAAGCCGCTCTCCCCTTGACCGCACTCATCCACAGCTTCGACGCGGAACCTAGGCAATTGTTAGCTCTCGGACGGAACAATAGCGATTTCCCCATCGGACAGGAAACAGCTCTGGCTTTGGGTGCGCGAGCCTGGATAGCAACTTGCGGCTCGGACGTCAAGGCCACTGTGAGGAACGGGAGACCCCGTGCAAGGACGTATCTTTGGCACGAGGTCCAAGAGATGTTGGATCGGGCAGAGGCAAGGGAGAGGAGAGCCTGTTCGGGCCGGTACGCGCCGAGGAGCACGCAGATATTGGATCTGTACCAAGGTGAAGAGGTAACTCTGACGAGCGATGGCGTTTGCGAGCTGGACCCTCTATCGCAGCATCAGCGCGCAGTGCCGGATGCCTTGGGGTTATTTCATAGCGTTTCAGCGTTTTAAAGGATGAAACTAGATGCCTTGGGGTTATCTAATTGCGTTTAAGTTTTTTAGAATTGAAAACAGATGCCTTGGGGTTATATAGTGGCGCTTCGGCGTTTCGAGGATTAAAACCATAAACAAGAGAGTGATAATAATGGTAGTATTGTAAATGATTCTTTATTTCTCATCTGCCGCGATGGATAAATGTCTTTTGAAATGCAAATGCGAGGGAGAAAGCAACAACAACAAAAAATGGTACATGTATGCGAGATGAGACTTGTAGATGCAGATGAGACGCCCTCACATCTCCCAGGGTATCGTGCATCCATCTGCCCATCTATGCCCGACCTCTCCAAACCTACTCAACAAATGCTCAGCCCAGCCCTCCAGTTCCTCCTTTTTTTTCAACATCTAGTTTTCTCAGCCTCTTTCCACGATGTATCACCATTTCATCCCTTGAGTCTGAAAAGGGGAACATCATTTCATCTGCTTCAAAATCTCGCTCAGGAAATCCTCAAAGCTCAAAGTAATGTAGCCATCCCTGTCATCGTCGTATCTCTTAAACACATCCGTCATACGCTTCAGCGAGATGCACGCCTGAACAAACAGGTCGAAGCTCATGACGCCCTCACCGCGCTTATCGTAAGTACGGAACAGCAGCTCGACAAACTGCGGGCTGAGTCGGTAGCGGAATGCGATGAGGGCATCGGTGAACTCGGGCAGAGAGATATTGCCGCTGCGGTCGACGTCGAAGCGGTCGAAGAGGGTGCGCCACGAGGCGAGGAAGGACCAGAGGCCACAGAATTCCTGGAAGCCAATTGTGCCGCTGCGGTCCGAGTCGAACATGCGAATCATCATGCGGACAGTCTGGATGTCGAAGGCGGTCCAATCGCCGTTGACAAGGGCCGCCGAGAGCTCCTTTTCGGATAGGTGACCGGTTCCTGAGTTGAGGAGGCTTGACGTTAGCACCTCATTGTCGATTCATGCAGCCATATCTCTTTGAGTGTCAAACTCACCATCCTTGTCCACAGCCCTAAACAGTGGCAGCAGCGTCGGGTCAGCACCATTCGCGTCGTTGGACGGCGAAGGGGGCGGTCGAGAGGTAGCAGCAGGGTGATGCTGCGCTACCGGGCGCTGAGCAGCGGCCACAGGAGGCGGTGATCCAAGCCCGTACGCGCCTGGGTGGGTGATTGGCGACCTTGTGTCATGTCGCTGCTGATCGTATCTTGGCTGCCCTTGTTGACCATGTCCCGCAGTATCGCGCCGAGGCGGGTGATCGTACGGCCCTGGGCCATGTCCCGCCGTATCACGCCGCGGCGGGTGGTCGTACTGGTGCTGGGGGGGAGGCTGTTGGTGCTGTTGGTATTGCGGCTGCTGCTGCTGATACTGCGGCTGCGGAGGGCGGTCGTATCTCTGCTGCGGAGGCGCTCCAGGGTGCGGAGAGGGCGCTTGGCCTGGTTTCTGCAAAAAGAAGCGCAAAACAAAGCTTTGGTTAACTGCCTATCCCATGGACAACATGTCTTCCTCCGATCTCAGGGGGGTGGGACTCATGCAACCTACTTGGTCAGGCTCAGCAAATCTGTAAGTTGGCGACGAGTTAGCGATTGACCAGTTCACCAAGGCTCTCTGAGAGCCACGAGGGGGCAGCAAAAAGCGGCACGGCACGGCGGTCCATGACGTTTGGAGCCTCCAAGGCTGAGACATACCTGGGGAGAGCATCTGGGTCGTAGGGCCGGTTGTACGCCATTTCTGCGAACTGTATACAAGGAGCTTTTCGTAGATGTGTCTGTGACGTGGCCGCCGGGTAATGATACAGAGAAAACAGCGAGGGAATTTCCGGTGTGCTCAGTCGATGCGGTTTTGTGCTGCGTCGTCGCTCTGGAAGCTTCTCCTCTACCAAGACAAGACGGACGTCGAAAGAGCTGTTGCTTGGGGAGGTGGGGTTGAGGAGAGATAAAGCTGTCCGGGTGTGGTATGCAGCAGTATGCAGCAAGAGGCGGTAGGTCTCCAGTAGGTACAAACGAGCGCTGTAGGTATCGGGTCGCGGGGCAGGTCAGGGCCTTTTTCTAGAGCAAAGAAAAGCGCCAGGCTGGTTAGAATTAAAGACTACCTTGATTCAATGCGAGATTGGATGCCGAGAGTCGTCGCCCTGGTAGACGGGAAATAGGGGCTGCAGGGTCTGTAGGCGTCGTAGGCCTTGCGAGTCGCGGCGCCGAGAAAAAAAGAGATGTGAAGGATTTGATTCAATTTGGACAATGTCAATTGCTGCGTTACGACGGGGGGATCAAATGCTCGTCAGATGTCACCTCGTCTGGGTACGTGTACCTAAATAGTAGCAGCAGCTGGGCTTGGCTTGGCCTCAGCTTGCACATCCCGTCAGCAACAAACGCGGCAGCTTCAGTCAATAGTGCCGATCCCTGCGACAGTTGTGGCGGGGTGCCGGTTTGGGCCATGGGAATGCCGCGCCTCACTCAATCCTTTTCGACTCAGTTGGTTGTCCAAGATACGCCCTTTTCGCTTTGAGCTCAGCTTTAGCCATAGTCAAAATACGAGCACCACTGAGCCACGGTAGTGAATCGCCTTATACCCGCAATTCGGACTTTCAGACAGTGCTGTTTGTTGCTGCTAAACTCGAGCCCCAACCCAGCCCCGGAGTGAGTTGCTGAGACGAGAAAAAACACTCCATGAAACTTGCACAGCCGCCACGCCCATGAGGCTCTGCGCGGCCCATGGACACACAGTAAGGCTCATCGGCAGGCTGGTTTTTTGCTGCACGGCGACCAGGAAAAAAAAAGACTCCACATTCGCTCTTGGCTTCAAAAGCACTCGTTCATTCTTTTCAGCAGCTGTGCGGTGTTATACTCGTCTGGCGCAAAGTACACCCAAACGCTGAGGAATCCATTTCATGCGTGCTGTCCAACTTTGCTGCAACCGGTGAAAAGCCTCCTTACATGTAGTACCTGCCCAGTGTCTGTCTGTCTGTCTGCCTGTCTGTCATTTAATCCCCTCGAGAAGCAATGCCTCTTTATTCATTCGTTTCATGTTCACTCGCCATTGTCGAAGCCGTAAGTTAGGTACTCGTATGCTTCATGACTCAAAAAGGGCCTGGCTGCTTTGTAATCATTTCCACTCACAAGTCTCGCAACCTCTTTACGCCATAACCTCCATATCTTTCTCATGTCAGCGCCGTAGCCAAAATCAGATGCCGCACCCGTAAAGTCGCTTTTGCATGCTACCCTTATCAAACTATTCCCGTCATCACCAATAGATTGTCGCTCCTCACCCGTGTAGTATTTGTCGCTTCAAACATTGTCGACGAAAATTCCAAGTCGAGCCGAAACGAACAACCACCCCCATATAGTATCTCTCGCGTGACCTCGTACGTGATGACTGCAGCTGAAAACGCATCGGAATTCTGGCTCTATGGCTACGGGTACGTCTGGCATCAGATTGGCGTACAAGACGTGGCACAGGATTTTCGCTCCGCCTGCTCCCCTGTCGACGCCCAAGCCTCTTCTCCCATGTCGCGCATCTAATCTCTGATGGATACCCAACGTATAGGAGTCTCATATGGAAGCCCCCGCCGCACTTTGGTATTGCCCCTTCTCCTTCTCACATTGCACATGCTCTGCCATGAGAAAAAAAAAAGTCATGAGCCAAATACCGGCTAACACCAGCAACAAGACCAGAGAATCCCGGGCTGGGTAACGGGATACGTCCGGCGTTTCTGGCAGGTAAGTTCAGTTCAGTTCACTCTGGCGAAGCAGCTTGTTGCCCCTTTTCTCTCCCACTGTCCAGCATGGTAGCTCACAACCTCAACAGGCCAGGTATGTAGGACGACAACAAAAAGGCCTCTGCAAGGGCAGTGCGGTCACGAGGCTCATTTGCAATGCTAACCCGAACGTCACTCCAGCGAAGATCATCGAGGAACACCGGAAGCTCCTGGGCGAGTTGTCACTCTCATTGAGCGGTCCCACTGGGAACAGCTCACAGACCACCATGACTCTGCTCCCGATAAAGTATGGGGGGTAGCTTACCGAATCCACGCCGACCATGTGGCAGAAGTCAAGGAGTATCTCGACATCCGAGAGATCAACGGCTATTCCATCCATTACACGCCATTTCATCCCGCCGATGGCTCCTCGCCCATCCGGACGCTGGTCTACATCGGCACGCCGGATAACGAGCAGTTTGTCGGGCCTCAGGACCCTCAGGAACTTGCCGAGCACATCTTGCGTAGCCGTGGCCCCAGCGGGCTGAACAAGGACTACCTCTTCGGCCTCGACACGGCCTTGGCCGACCTGTGCCCGGAGAGTGAGGATGTCCACGTGAGCGATCTCGCACGTCGTGTGAGAACCCTTGAAGCCGCGGCCAACGGCTCAGCAAAGGCCCCCCGAGCTTCGCCTCAAATCGCCAATTTCAAACAGGAAAGCAGCACAAGGGAGGCGGAGGAAATCGAAAAAGTTGTCTCATAATAAGAGGGCGGGGAAAGACAAAGACCAGAAAAACTGACAAAGAAACATGGAAGGCAAATGCTTTTTTCCTCTCAGATCCCCTAATGATAGACAATGCCGCTTCGTTTCCCATGCCAACCGACCTAGATATTGATCATAGCCCGTCATCAACGTCGCCAATATTATAGTTGACCTTTCCTAGAAAGGTGGCCAAATATATGGCTCCAATATCCCCCCTACAGATGTCTCTCCACCCGAAATCTCCCCTTGACTTGTCCGTGATCCGGCCAGTCCCTCCCACAAAGCAATGGTGCAGGAACCCCCTATTTTGATTCCAAAAGCACAAGACGGGGCAAGTAAAGATGGGCAGTGAAAAAAACAAAAGAAATCCTCCCTCTCCAAGAGCTTCTCCTCACACAGGGCTCGTTAATAGCCTGGACAGCTCATCCATTTATCGAAAGAAAAACAAATCCGGGTATATCTTTGACACTTATAGACGCTCCACCTCGAGAGTTCTAAAGGGTGCCGTTCGCAAAACCAAAAGAACATGCCTGGGTCTTTATTTTTCGATAACACGGCTCTGGAAGGGCTCCAAGCCTCTCACTCTGGGGGAGGACTGTGGACGACAATCTGCAGCGGGCTTCATTGGATTTGCTTAATAGCCTCCGCCCTGGGGGGGAGGCTGGGGTGGCTGCTGGGGAACATTTGGGTAGCCACCATACGATGGGACGTAACCTAGGAGACAGTCAACATCGGTTCAGAGCGAATGGCCGCCGCCGTGACCATGGGGAGAGTCTGCTTTTGAAATACCTTGCGGAGGCATGCCGTACTGAGGCTGCGGCTGTGGGTAACCGCGGCCATACGGAGCTTGCTGATACATGTTGGGAACGCCGTAGCCAGGGGGTGGTGCATTTCCATAGGATCCAGGCGGTGCTCCGTAGCCGCCGCCGCCGCCTCGGCCTCCATACCCTCCGCCGTTGCGATTGCCAAATCCACCGCCACGGGGACCATTATCGGATGCCTTATCAACACGAATAGTTCGCCCGTCAAACCTGGAGAAGGAATCAGAAATCTTCCGCAATGGACATGATACTTGGGGCAAAAAGAAGCGGGAAAAGAAGAGAAAAAGCAAAGAATCCGTACTCGACATTGTTCATGGCGGTGATGGCAGCTTGGGCATCAGCTTCTTGTACGTATCGCACAAAACCAAAGCCACGGCTGCGGCCGGTATCTCGATCCTTGACAACCACCTTGACAAATTCATTAGAAACACGGTGCCACGCGTGAGCTGCCACAACAGGGGATTCGCGTTGATGGAAATGTTGGATCCCATTTTGTGAGCGAGTCCACGTCCCGGCTCGGGCGACGCAAATCAATCAAAGCCAGCCGTTGCTGTACCAAGGCGTAATGGGATGAGTTAAAGAACGACTTACCGCTTCCTCAACCACGCCAAACTCCTCAAACTTTTGGCGCAGAGTGGCCTCTTCAGTGTGCCATGCTAGGCCGCTTTGGCACTCAGTCAGCAGCACGTCCAGACGTCTCCATGGGGGCGAGCGCAGCCGGGGAGCAGGCTAGAAAACTTACCCTATGAAAAGCTTCGACATTGCGAGATGCACTGCGTCTCGATTTCTGACGCTGGTGGATGTGGCAGTCCTTGTCAAGAGTGGCAGTACCCTGACCGAATGTTCTGATATTGTCAGGCGGGGTGTGCAGCAGCAGCAGAAAGCAGAATTCGGGATATAGTGGTTGGGTCTGTTAAGGGAGGGGGGGAGAGTGAAAGAACTAGTCTCAACAGGTAATAGCAGGATGGCCTGAGAAGAGAATCATAGGCTTGGGCAGTGTCTTGCAGATGAGGGTAGGGCATAAAGTCCTCTAGACTGCATGTGGTGCGCAAGGCCACTGGCCATGGGCAGCGCTCGTCATTAAGGGACAACGAATGCACTCCAAGCCCTCTCATAGTGCCATTCGACATTGGATACTATCGGGTATAACTGTGCTTGCAAGGCAACATCTGGTTTGTGGCTCCAGATCAACCCCCGCCAGCATGGGCTAAAAAGCAAGGTCTGAGATGGCATACCTCGAAGTCAAGGGGGGCTTGTCGACATGGGCCAGCAGCAATGTGCGGGTGGGAAGAGAAGACTGGATGAGTGAAGGCAGGCTACGGCCCAGTTTCCAATCGCAGTTGGATGTTTTGCTGGGGAGGGGGGGGGCGTCAGGTGATGGGGGAGAGATGCTCTGGAGTTGGAACCCAAAATATGGTAGTGGCTAGCTCCAAAGCACGGGATGCGGTGGGAAGGTTGGCAAACAAGGGCGGAGCAGCAGCGACAATGATGGTAGGGAGTAACGGTGACGGTGACAGCGATGGAGACCAGAGGAACGGAGAGACGAGACGGGACAGGTGTTCCATGCGGTACCGCAGCGAGGGGACAGAAAAGGATGCAGACTACTGCGCGACCACGTACCTAGAGCTGTGCCGATTCGTCCGTGACGTCTGGAACCAGTAACCCAGCTTGCCCAGAGACAGATGAGCCACACAACGTGGTTGTGGCTTGCTGATCTCGCCCTCTCAGCGATCGACGGAGCTGCGGCGACTTGTCCTAAGCAGTGCGCTAATTAAAATGACCCCAAGTCCAGTCTGGAAGCTGGACTATGCTGGCAATGCCGCGGCGCGTCGGGGGGGCAGTGAGTTGGTGAGGGCGACGGGGTCTTTATCCGTACGAAGTGCTTATCGGGTGTCACGGCGGCCTCGAGGAGACGGGCGGTTGGCGAAGCGCGCAGAGCCCTTTGGATTCGGCGGGATGTCGTGACGGCTAAAAAAGGGACGGTGTCTTGGATTTGAGGGGGGGAAGGGCGGGAAGAGGGTGAAGGGTGAAGATGAGGATGAGGATGAGGAGAGAAGACCAGGAGATTTATGCGGTCAAGAAGTTGTTGTGGGAGAACAAAAAAAAAACGGTGGCCAGTCCTCCGTCTGTCCTGTGCGGGTACAGGCACAAGAGAAGGTACTTGGTACTCGCCTCTCGCAAGGTTAAGTTGGCAGCTGGCGGTTGGCAGCTGGCGTTATCAGTAGCACCTTCTTCTACAACGGGGCTTGCTTGGTCTTGGTCTCGGTCTGGTCTTGGTCCAATTTGTGTCTATGCTTTTACTTTAGTACTTGGCGACTACCGGTGACTGCCACCACGCAGAGTGCACTTCTCCGGGTGACCGCCTTGTATCGGCGAGCGTGCAAGGCTGATGATGACGTGGGTGACTCGCAAGATACGTCGTTGCCGGGCTGGAAAGAGCGACGGACGAGTGTATACGACCGTCTACGATTGGCCAATGGCTGGTCATCTGCGCTTTATTGATGTGGCAGCCAAGGCTCAGCAAATTCAATAGACGAGGCTGCCTGTTCCGTACCTTGCCAGGAACAAGCATTAGGCACGATACTGCCGCTTTGCCTTTCATCCAGGCGGTTTCCCGGCACTCGTGCAATCAAGGGGATCACCGCAGGCCCCGGCTGTTGGATACTATTGGCCGAATAGCAGTCAACGGGCATCCTTTGTACGAGTACAGCCGGGTCTGGTACGAGTTGGGTACTTTTACAAATGTTGGGAGCCCGGCACATACACGTACAGGTACTGTCATGTACTGTCGTGTGCAGTACAGCAGCACTGGTTTATTACAGGTAGAGAGATTAGTACCTCAGTACTAACAGGTAAGGCAGTCCTCGTCGTCAACCAGTCACCTTACAGCACGATCTCGAGGCACGGAGCCCCTCGCTTCTTTGAAAATTCTCCGTGCAAATCCCTTAGCCACTATCCTCGATGGATGCGCCAGCCGAATTGTATCCATAATGCTACAGGTACGGATACATGACGGCGAGATGGCGTGACCAGGGCTGACATGTAGATTAACAACAAGCAACACCAGGGGTAAGGTGCCAAGTTTGAAGATTATGTACTTCGTACGTCCTATCCTTGGTGAAAGGGCCTCGTCCGTCCCTGCAACTTTTGGCACTAGCCAGATGCAATATCAAACAAGGCCAGATCAAGGTTGCATGATTTCAGCGATGACGCATCTTACGCCGGGTCAATTTCTTTGTTCATGCGGCATCCTGAACCCTCTCCTATTCCAGAGACAAAAATAGTAACTTGTGTCTGCAACAGCCTCTTTACCCGAGGCGTCGTGTTGAAGAGGGTGTATTGCTTATTTTATATCAATGTCGAATTCTTATCATCTTATTTCCTAAATACGAGAACAAGACAAATTCTGCCTACCTTAGTAATGCCGCCATGGCCGACTTTTCAGCTCAAGGGCGTCGATAGCACCGGTTGTCGCAACTGATTCAACTTGTCGGTTTCAACTCAGACGCCAATGGCTTTTGCCTCGAGCCCCTGGTCGGCACTTGGCCAAATACATTCGGGAACCGCTCGCCAGCCAAGCTGGCCGTAAGCTAGGGAGGGTCCACGTCAACTTGGTTTCTTGAACCCCTGATCTAACCCTCCTGGCGTCCGACCCCCGGTCACACACCAATAAGAGGGCGGAGGAGCTGGCAAATTGCTCACCCAGATCTTTCTTTTAGTTGCGAGTGCGAGAGTTCCTTTGATTTGTCTTTCAGCTCACTAGAGGAGAGCATAGCCTTCCCCATCCAGGTGCCTGGTTTCTCATTTCTCGATTCTCGTTTCCCACCGAAGGCTGTCATAGTCCCTGGCCGAGAGCCAAGTTTGCCGTGGCGGAAGAGTGCTGATCGATACGGCAGCCGACGTCTTTGCCCGATTGCAGGCCTACCTTATCTTGCAGTTCTTCGCATTGGGCAGCGGTGCATCGGACTTTGGAAGAAGAAGAAAAGAGCAAATGCTGTAGCAAATGGACTCCTTGGATCTTGCGCGCGCTTTTCCTGCTGGCTCCGCTTCCAGTCCACTGCCCCGACGAACCAGCCAGCCGGGTTCGGCCCCATCCAGCCTGCAAAGCGGGCCATACAGGATGCGAGTTTGCTCGAACAAGGTGGCACAGCGGCCCTGCAGCTAGACGAAAACGTACAACTTGGAGGTTGGGATTGACCCCGTTGATTCGGTTGGTAATCAAACGCCCAGATCTCAGTGGATGGCCGAGGCTTAGGCTTAGGCTTGGCCCAGGGTGCCAATCAGAGCGGCTAGCTGAGGATCGCCTTGCAGAGACTCGATGTGTCGTAGGTAGGAAGCAATTCCCACAGACGACTGCGGTGGTTCGGCATGCCGTGATGTCGGTGCCGGTTCGCTCCCCCATTAGCATCAAGTTTCGCCGATCAACACTATATTCTCATTTGCGGGTGTAGCGCCTCGAATGGTTTAGCAGCAATGAGCAGCAGCAAGGAGGTGCCATGCTCAAGTCGGCATCCTGTTGTCGTACTGCATGGAGGGGAGTGAGTTGTTTAGGGGAGCCTGCATGCATTCCATGTCGACCTTGGGTTTGCTTGCCTTGCGTTAGTCAGCCAGCAGCAAAAGTCGCCGTTTGGCTTACGAGTAACCTACGGAGAAGTTGGCTCAATGCTGCTTCATCCTCGTATGTAGGTACACTAGCCACGATACCTGTTCCCTGCAAGCCTGGTCGTTGTCAGCGCTGTTGTGCATCTCTGGCAGGGCGATCTCCGTGGCTTCTGTGAGTACGAGTATCGCCCAGCGCCATCAAACACACACATGCTGCTGCTGCTATCGTCCACACGGCGGATGAACAAGGCCCTTGCCTAGGCAGCCCCGACGCGCCAATCACGGGGCCTGGTCGCTGGTAGTCCGGCTCGCTGGAGCGGGGAGGGGATCCGCCGCGCTGCTTTGGGGTAAGCTGCACGCACGTGTAATTGACCTAGCACGGTACCTAGAGCCTTGCTAGAGCTTTGCTAGGGCCTAGCAGAGATGCAGAGGTCTCCTCTTTGCAGCGCCCACGGCCTATGAGAGCCTATGGGAGCCTATGGGAGCCTCTGGGATTGGGCGCGGCGGAGCCTTGCTGCTTTAGGGCCAGCGCCACAGCAATCCTCCACTGGCTGCTGGACTTGGACGGATGGATACCCGACAGTACGAGTACATGTACCTACGCAAGGCCGTGCTTGTTGCAGCGTCCAGCCAATTGACCGACCAAGTTTCAGCCAGTCAATCAGCCTCGGGATCCCCAATGGCCCGCGTCGAATGTCACCATCTCATTCACAGGCCTCGTACATACTGTGCTCGTACACGTACTTGTCCGGATTACACCAGCAGCGTTTTGGATGCAGCGTGCTGAAGAGGACGGCTGTTTGCGCTAGCACCGCGGCCAGTTGCTGCGAGTCCAGCAGTGAGTTGAGTGAATGCTTCCTGCTTCCTGCTGCCAACAAGACGCCGCACAGCGAGCATGGCTCCTTCGATATCAACTCGGAGCGATGCCCAGCTTCCTCGACGGCATCGAGCCAGCCAAACTGTAGACTGTAAACATTTCTCCCGCCTGGTGCAAACATGGCTTGACGCGAAGCTCGGGCCTTTTCCTCCTTCAGCCTGAAGCTTGCTTTGATTCTTTCTGGTGTTGAATCCGCCTCTGACGCACCAATCCGTGTCAGCAGCATGGCCTGTCACAGGCATGACCCTTCTCGAGCCAGGAGCACCGTTTCTCATCAGGATCAGTGCCGTAACTCTTCCACCCTGCCATCTGCTCGCCAGTCCTCACCGACCGACCCTATCCCTTCCTGGCTGCAGCACGTGCAGGCAGGCGACGTGTACAATGATACAGAACGGGAAATCCTCCGGCAAGCAAGCCCTGGCCCTGAAGAGACTGTCTGGCATCCCAACGGCATTCCGACTGTTCACATCCAACCCAACTACGACGCCAGGAGGTACCAGGCATCAGATGTCTTTATCCAAGAGACCCCATCACCGCCATCTTTGGCTGGCCAGACAAGTCGCCCTCTTGTTCACGAGCCTTGTCTGAACGACGACTATGCCAAAGTTGTACACGATGGAAAGGAGCACTCCCATTCCAAAACCCACGTCTCGACGCCGTCGGGGGCCTCGCTAGCAGAGCATGGCATTTTCGAGAAGCAACCCAGACGAAAGACTCGGAAGGATCGCTACAACACGGTCAAATTAAACGGTGCCAGAACAGGGAAACAACAGGCAAAGAAGTCGGCTGCTCGCGTATCAAAAAATGGGAGGTTACGATCGAGCCGAGAGATAATGGCCAACTTCACGTCCAGCGCAATCACACATCCAAACGAAAGAATCACGGTATTTCTTCCCCCTATTTCCTGTTTGTTGAACTGTAGGATGACACTCGAAAGCTGAAGCCCAGATTCACACCCGGATTATTTGTCAATGGGCGAAGTTCGGTGCCACGTACGTTTATCTCGGAACGTATGGGGACAGTCCTAATATCGTCTCGACAGTAACGGACCTTGTTTTCAACGACATACCCTTGCCTGACCAAGGCCGCACTTCAACCGATAATGAACAATGGGAAAAAACAATAGCAAGGAAGTCAGAAGGAGAAGGTAAGCATCAGAACGAAGTTGAAATTCTCTGATGCCTTACGGTCTTTAACAAAAGACGGCCCGCCTTTAGAATCCCCCGATACACGCGACCGCAGAGCCACTTCCACAACCTCTCCTACCTATTTCCAGCCTATCCGGAGACCGATCACTACTGATAACATCAATGATGAAGCCGTTACTGGGAGGGCCAACATTATTGTATGCCATAGAGACGATGGCAGTAGCGGTGCCAAGGACTGCGCTGGGGACAACAACAAACCCACACCAAAAGGAGACAGCTTTACGCTGCATATTCGTCCCATTTACAGCCTTTCCCCATCCACCGATCCCAATTTATCCGATCTAAATATGTTGAATACGCCGTTTTCTTCGAGCGACAATTCGATACAGGAGGCTCAGGGGGAATCCGCTGCAAGACATCAGGCACAGAATACCGAGGGAAATGTCGACGAGCGCAACCTCGGTGACAGCAACCAGGTGAAGGCCACCAAGTACAGGGACATGGGGGTTATGGTAAGCCCCTGGATGCACCATCGGACTGATAGGCACAAGTCGAGTGACAAGGGTGATGGCGGCCATCGACTGTGGGCGGACGAAGATTGCTCCAACTCGAACACAGAATCACGCCCACACAATACTTTTGCACAAATGCCACCTCACAAAGGAAACCACCAAGACCAGCTGTCCCAGCCAAACAACCCAGGAGTGTGCACCGCGAGTGTAGAGAGTCAGATATACGGGTATCCAACTTATCTACCACATGTTTCTGAAAAACTAAACCTCAAAGCACAAGTCGGGGATGTTTTCCGTCCTCACAGTGATTCCTTTCCAGCCTGGGTTTATGGTCCGCACGGTACCAAATATCCCTTCCGTCCATTTACAAACAACGGTTTGTCGTCTATCGGTGATCTTGAATCGTTGAAGACTATCCAAACAGAGCCAGGATATGCCTGCGACATCGACCTACCAGCGCAGCTGACCGGCTCTGGCCATGCCTGTCAATTATCCAAGGAGACTTGTCAAGACACAAACACCCTATGCTCGGATACGCTGCATGTGATTGATGATATACCCGGTGAATCTCTCATGGAATATATCGAACGAAAGGAGCGTGAAATACTAAGTTCTGACGAGCCCCCCACCTCGTATATGGAGAATTCTTTGCTCTCAGCTGAAGATGTGTGCCAGAGTCAAAATTCAGGAGTGTCCTATACGGACGTCCTCAATGAGACAAGACGCTCATCTCCAAGAAAACCAGTGCAACAACCAATCCATCAAGAACATTGCTCGCCTTTTCACCAATACCAACGGCTTCCAAGTCTAGGAGAAATCCTCAATCGTCAAATAGAGTCAGAGCTCACATCATTCTGGCAGCCAAACCATATGATGTGGTGTTAATCACCTCTGGCGGAGACACCCTGTTGTGGCCATTTCGCTTCCAAGTATTCCGTGTTACCAATAGCAACAAGTTTCTATGAAATCACTATTCTGGCTCTTGGTCTTTCCACTTTGCTCTCAAATCCTGCACAGGCATTCCGCATTGCTCTGCTTTGGTAGTTATGGCATGGGCTTTTCCCACCACTGGGGCGTCAATCATCTTCCCATCAAGAGTCCACGCACCACGCCCGGCAGCTGCGGCCTTTTCGTCGGCAATGGTGACACGGACGGCCCACTCTACGTCCTTTATATCGGGAGCAAACATCCTCTGGACAGTCTCTAGCTGTCCGGGGTGTATGCACTGTTTGCCATTGAAACCCATGGCCTTTCCACCTTGGCATTCCTCTTCCAGCGTCCGGAGTCCGTCGTCACCTCGATAGGAAGTACAAACCAGGTCAATGGCGCTCGGGAGATTATGTGCTCGAGCTGCAGTAACAATGGCCGACCGTGCATAGAGGAATTCCGTCAGAGAAGGCGTTCTCGTTATCGAAAGGTCAAGTGCAAAGTCCTCAGCCGCAAATATCAAGCCACTGAGAAAAGGGGAGGCCCTGCATATGGAAGAAAGGTCCATGACTGCTTGAGCTGATTCAATAAGCGCTATAACCTTGATTGGATTTGTCGAGCCATCACTATGACGCTCTGGAGCGACATGTCGCAGTACATCAGTGACAAAGGTCAGGTCGGCTGCCGAATTGACTTTGGGCACGACAATGGCGTCAACCTGATCTGCCGATGACAGTGTCGTTAAATCATCAAGAGCAAAAGGGGTTGACACCGCGTTTATCCGAACAGCAAGCTCCGAAATAGTGGAAGGACGCGATTTTAGATTGGCGATGTGCTCCTTTAACTGGTTTCGAGCATTTCCCTTCTGAGAAGGAGTGACAGAGTCCTCCAAGTCATATGTGACATTGTCTGTTGTCAGGGCCAGAGACTTGGAGAGCATCTTCTGAGAGGATGCAGGAACTATGACTCGATATTAGTCAAGTATCATTTTTTCAAAGACGATGTGAAGAACAACCATATAATAAGGAGCGCCGAAGAATGGACGAAGCCCGTGCAGCCATGATGGATGCTGAGCGGAGGTTATAATACGGGACTGTGGGGACGTATGTTTAGAGACGGGCGAACGGGTTGGAGGGTTTTATTTGGCAATGCATTCAGTCGACCTGAGAACCATTGATTTCTAAATACACGCGTGGGAAGAGTCTTATTAACTATCGAGAGTTGGTCGTCATCATCTGGGATTTGTGAATGAATAAACATCAACAGCGTCTCTTTTTGTATTGTCGCGCACTATCAAGAATAATAGCCGAATCCCTGTGCTCCTATACACAGCCGTCGTGCGAATAATAGCCGAAGACCACGCCCGCCAGCCCCACCTTGGCCGGAACATCATAGCTCCATCCCTGATGAGCTACGGTAGCTTGATCACGAAGCTCTCCAAGTCGGCTTCTTGTGATGACGACAATCCACAATCGAAACAAGACCACGAAGCCGAAGCTGTGACGCAAACCCCGAATTCCTTGTCCTCATATCTACCCGCGACATTGAAAATCGCAACAGGACAGTGACGATAAATCCCCCCCCCCGCCGCTGCCATGGAAGAGGTCGCGCAGCCCGCACAGGGAGCGCTGAGTTGGCGGCTCAGCTCCCATCCGATTACGTTGCTCACGTTTCTGGGCTTTCGAATATGTTGGTGGCGATCCTCCCCCCAGTGAGAAGATGGGTGTTTTTTTTTTTTTTGCGGTGGAGAGACTGACGGATGGGGGGTTTTTGTTGTAGCGAGCGTTCTGATTTACTTTTTGGGATTATGGGTTATCCAGAGCATGTGCGTATTACTTGGTTCCTGGGCCCCTCTCTCTTGTTTTTGTTTTTTGCTTGTTTATACGTACTAATGTATGAAAATCCGCAGGATCATGATCTTCATCATTACAATCTTGTTGCTGGCCGCCGACTTTTACTACCTCAAGAACATTGCGGGCCGGCGGCTGGTCGGCCTGCGGTGGTGGAACGAGGTCGACCCTTCGACGGGCGAGTCGCAGTGGGTGTTTGAGAGCCTGGAGCCGGGCACGCGGCAGATCAACGCGACGGACAGCCGCTTCTTCTGGCTGGCGCTGTACGTGCAGCCGGTGTGGTGGGTTCTCATGGCGATCTTGGCGATTATACGGCTGCAGTTTTTGTGGCTGCCTCTTGTTGGTGAGCTCTGTCTGTCCTTTTCGTTTCACCGGGATGTTGGGCGGGGAATGGGCGCTTACAATTTTTTTTTTGTTTTCTTTTAGCGATTGCGTTGGCTCTTACCATCATCAATACGCTGGCGTTTTCTCGGTGCGACAAGTTTAGCCAGGCATCGGATTTCGCTGGTGGTGCCTTTGGATCGGGCAATCTGGCGGGCAGCATTGCGAGCAACTTTGTCAGCCGCATGTTCAGGTCGTAAACCCAGAGATGGAAAGAGACAGAGAGTGTGAATCTGTGTGCAGGAGCGGCATATTGTTTTCGTGAAACTACCTTATGAAGGGGGGGGAAAGGGGGGACTGCGCGGCATGGGATGAGTTTCGGTTCAAACGGGTTTGAAGCTGAGACCGCCTCATTGTAACACTTACCAGAGGGGGGGATTATGCGGAGTGTATTTCCTAAAGGATGTTTCTTCTTGGGACCTTGATCGGGAATGAGTTTTTAAAATGTTTAGTCGCAATCCAACGCCCTCGTTTTGCTGTTTAGCAACTGTCACAACGGGATTTCACACGAATGCCACCAAAGAATTGAAGGTTTGCAATTCCTCGTTTTTCTCTATTAGAATTTACAGCGAGCGGCGCCCTCGTGCTACCTATGAAGCTACTAAATATGCGCAGAGGGTATATGTATTGTATATATACAACTGTGATTAAAAAAAAAGCGAGAGAGAGATGGCCTGCGAGAGGAACACAAATTGATATCTTTAGATGGTCGAGTTCATTTTCCAGTCATCTCAGCGAAAAAAAGGTTAAAGATGGCATTAAAGGATTGATATCATATCATGAGCTGTTGTGTCCGTTGCTTTGTTGTATATGGTATCCCAAATCGTCACACACAAACATGATATAAGAAAAAAACGATTACGAGCTTCACAGATGAAAAGCAGCACGGAAGCCAGCTTATCCCAGCCTCCCAAGAGTCCCCCGACGGAAAGGAGGGGGGGGAAAGAAGAAATCCGACGGCCTTCCAAAACTTGTTTCAACTCTCGTTTTTCGATGGAGGTGGGGGGAAACAATTTGTATACTTGCACGAGAGGAACGATCAAGTGGATGTCCTCCGGGCCGCACGTTCAATCTCAGCGTCGAGATGCCGCTCTTCCTCTTCCAGTCGCAGGATATCGGCCTCTGTCATGCCCTCTTCGACAAGGTGAGCAATGTTGCGTGACCTGTTGTTGTTGTTGTTGTTGTCTGACGCAGAGCTGCCTGGACGGTCCACCTCATCATCGTGAGTAGGCGCCCGCCCGCCCGCCAGCGTCCCTGCGATGGTCGTCTGAAGAGGCAGCATTGCATTGGTGGAGCCGGTACGGGTGCCGTCGTCGGAAAAGGGGGAGATGATGGGCGACTCGGCGACCGAAGCCTGGACTTCTTTGGTTGCGATGAAAGAGTTGGTAGTCTGGCCGGTAGCATTGTAGCCCTGGTCGAAATGGCGTCTCCGGCGGCGGCGAAGGAGGAACCACACGAGGCCACCGATGAGGAGGATGCCAACGACGGAGCACGCCACGGCAATGCCGGCGATGGCGCCCGTGCTGAGCCCGCCGCCGCCGCCGCCGCCTCCCCCACTACTGTCTCCGCTGCTGCTGCCTCCGATGCCGTTGCCGTTGCCGTCAGAAGGTCCGCTGGTGGGCAGGGTCGGGTTGCTGACGGACGAGGTAACAGCCTCGCCTCCTCGACGGTCTTGGTCATTGTCGGTCGCTTCTCGCTCGCCAAACAGATCTGCGTCGATCGAGGTGGTTGAGTTGGCAACGGTAAAGACACCAGATTGTGTGAAGCCCAGGTTTCCGTTTTTTGTTTTCCAATCGATTTTGATAACCATGTCCTTCTTATACCAGTCGCCTGAAAGTAATGCGGAGCTTGTGAGGTTAAGTGTTGCGTTTGAGGTGCTCACTAGGGTCATTTATTAGCATTTCCATCACATCGTCAATGAGAAACACCACAGCGCCACGATATGTTGTATATGAAAGAAAGCAACATACGGCTAACAATCTCGGTTCCGGGCCTAGAACCGCCGAATTTGGCACGAGTAATGACCTTTGCCTGAGAAATATCGAAAGGTTGTCCCGAGGCAAAAGGCATTCCATACCAGGAAATATCCAAGGGCGTCGTCGTGCTGTTGCCGATTCTCCACGAAAAAGCTTTGGTCTGGCTGCTGGTGAAGAAGACTCGCCCTGCAGGTTCGTTCCCGAAATTGGCTGCATCGTTGAAGACAATGACTGTGGGTGATGGGAGGGCATCTAAAGAGCTTGTAGGTGAAACTTGCGGAGGCAGAATGTCTACCGAAGATGTTGGTGTTGGCGAGCCATTCGCGGTGCTTCCAGACCCCCCAGGGCCGCCGCCGATGCCGGGACCATTGTTAGGATTGGGATCGGGACCGGGATTGGCATCTTGAGACGGCAGTATTGAAATGCTGGTGGAAGTTGATACGCCTCCAGGTACTACGCCCGCCATGAGGAGCGGCTTGGAGGGCTTTGAACGAGTGTGTAACTAGCAGTACTGCCCAAACCAGGTAGTGCCTGACACCAACATCCGACGGCACGAGAACCAGATATTCGGAACGAGGAGCAAAGCAGGAGGGGAGCAAGAGGGGAGCAGAAAGAAGAGGAAAAAGAGAAAAAGAGAAAAAGAGAGAGACAAATCTACAGGGGGTGTAGGAGGTGTAAGTCAATGTGAGTAGTGGGCTCGTCAGACTCGATAATGGCAAAGAGGCGCAAGCCGCACGAGATGTGAGATGTCAGACCGGGGGGGAATAGCGGCCGCGTATAGAATCGCAGGACTAGCTGCAAGGCCTGTCGATTCCTTCCCTCGCTTGAGCATGATTCCATCGTTCGTTTGCCTCTCTCCAACCACTCACGACGGGTCTCTTGCTGCAAGCCATCTCATGCCCAATGCCTTGTGTCATTTTTTTGGCCCTTCCCTTGTTCTGCCTGCGTTGCGTTGCGTTGGCCTGGGCAGCCGCCAGATCAAACCCAGTCAACCCCCCTGTCCTGGTCCATTTGGCGTCCACTGAATAAAAGACCAAAAAAAAAAGATGGTGATGGGCGAGTGGATTGGAGTGGGTTAGGCTTGGGCAGATGGATGGGGCTACATGAGGCTGTCTAAAAATGGCATGCTTGGTCGTCTCCGTACACCGCATGTATATATAGGTACAAGGTGAGATGGAGATGAAATCGGGTTCGGTCGCTTACGACGGGCACGATGCTGACAGGTAAACGGCAGGGGGTCGTGCGAGCCCCATCTGTTTTCGTCTGTTAGTCTGCGTCTCTTTGTTCGGTTTTGTCTCGTCGTAGCTACTCTCTCATACTTATTCATACTTAGTCAAAAGCCTCTACATGGACCTTGATAAGGTCAAAGGCGATGCAACAGAACAAAAAAGACGCGAGCCAGGACCAGAGCCAAAAGCCCACGCACGCTGTAACCCAACGCAACAAAAGGGAGCCGGCCAAGCCCCTCCCCCTCCAGAGAAAGCTGCCGATGGATTGGACCAGGATGTCGTTGCTTCTCATGCACCAGTAGGCCGATTTTATTAATGGATAAAACGGAGTGGCGTTCCATTCAGACAGCCCATGGAGTGCCGGGTGAGGCTGAAGGGGACTCCACTGCGGCTGACTAGGGCGGACATGGACATGGACATGGACTGAAACTGTCAAAGAGTGGCTTGGGATCTGCCTTGCTATTTGCAATAAAGGGAGCGATTGTTGATGTGATGTGGTAAGAGGTCGGTGTTGAAGTTGGAGGTCGGAGCCGACGACGTTGGATTAGGTACCTTGGAGGTAGTTTTTAAGGTAAGTACAGGTAGTACAGATGGACGCCTCAGGTGTCAAGTGACAGGTACGGATACCAAGCTGTTGATAAAAGGGTACTTGCTGCCGGCGTAGCACTTTGCCTTGCCGCACAGGTACAGGAGCAGCAAACACCAGGTCCATGCGGCCAGCCAGCGTCCATTGGCCACAGTCCCGCCCATGCCTAAACCTTGGTATTGGCACAAGCGAATGCGTTATTGCATGTGGCTTGGGAATAGCCCGTTTTACATACATGATGCACGCAGCTGAAACCAAGCTGAGCATTTCATAGGATAGTAGTAGCCATAGGTAGTACGGGGTAGTTGGTCCGGAGTACGTTGGGTGGCGATTGAGGAGCAAGCATCAGGCAAAATGCAAAAGGATCAATCAAGGTATCAATCACCACCATATTCCATGCCATCCATACCAAGACACAAACAGATAAACACACAAGTCGAGCATCATTTTCTTTTAGATCCACTGGCTGGATGTGGCACAAAACTCTTCCTTCTATTAAATGAATATCTCGTCTTGTTTTTACTCTTCTCTCTCATTCTTTCGCTCTAAAAGACATGCCACACCTTGCACCATCCCGGCCCATCATACAGCCACAAACGTACATGCGACACATTATCCCCTCCCAACGCTGATAATGCAGCAACAAAGCAATCCTCTCCTATACATAACGTCAAAGTTCATCAACAAAGAAAAAAATTCCATCCATGCGTTCAATTAAACCCCAGATATCTGGCAAAGAGGGGGGAGCAAGAGCTGACGGCCGAATCAAACAGGTGCAAAGCGTTACCCAACTCCGATAATGTGCAGAGATAATGCAAGTAAAGGTGAGAAGATGATAAAAAGAAAAAGACAAAGGGTGATCGTGCCTCTACGCAAATGTCATGGAAATCTCCTGTTCTTTGCCAAAGTCGTCGTCGTCCGGATCGTTCCATGGGTCGGCCAGCGTCATGTTTGGCACCGTCTTGGCCGTCTTAATCTCCGGTCTGCTGGACTCTCCGTCAAATGCGGAATGGCGCCGCGCAGGCTCGTGGAAGGATGTGTCAAACGTCATTTGAATATCCTCTTCGTCGTGACTGGGCTCGTAGAGGTACGGCGACGGAGAAGGGCGAGTCGTAGGAGTGCCCATCGTAGTAGCAGGCTGGGCCCGGGGACTCCAGCTGTCGTTTGCCGGCCGCATCGGTAGCACCTCTGCGCTCTTTGATGCCTGCCATGAGTCTCGAGGCGCTAGGCCGGATCCTCGGGCGGGCGTTTGGGGCGATGACACCGGTGAGTAGTCGAGCTTCATTGGCGGAAGCGTCGACTTGATCTCCTTGACCTGTATTTCTTCTGTGCCATCGTCCTCAGCCTCTTTGGCCAATTCAGCCCGGATAGCATCAATGTCGAACAGCACGCCGTAGTTGTTGCCGTCTTTGTCCTCAACCTTCTTCCCACCCTTAGGTGAATCTTTGCCCGAGTCTTCGTAAATCTCCCACTCTTGTCGCTCCCCCTTGTTGCGTCGCCCAAACAATCCAAACTTGCTTGTTCTCTTGCTCGCCCTGCCCTCCTTCTCCAGCTCTCTACGTGCTTCTTCGATTTCGTTGATGAGCTCTCGCTGTCGCCCCTGGTGGTCATCTGGGTCAGGGTCTTCGATTTCGGAAAACTCCTCGCTGGTGACAAGCCATCCGCATCTCATGAGAAGTAAAGGCATGGCCTTGCGGTACTCCATATGACCAGCCACGAGATCCGTTACATCAACGTTTTCTATCCATGGGCAATCATCCAGGGCACCTAAGCCGGCAACTCGTCTGATGCCGCCGTTGGTCAGTCGGAAAAGATAGCCGAGAATCCAGTCATTGCGGTTATATCCATTTACGAAACGGCCGGAAACCACGGACCGGGCCTTGAGAAATTCATCTCGTTTGGCAACAATGGGCGATCCAAACATATATACGTTTTGAATGAGCCCAAACGCACCCTTCTTGGCCAGCTCCTTCAGGCAAGAGAAGATGACTCGAGCGCCGAGCGAATACCCGACAAGAGTGATGGGCCGCGTACCCAAGCTACGTTCTATCAGCGAGTCGGCCAGAATAAGACCGGCAGACGTTGCACGATCTAGAGACACCGCCCAGGGGTTGTCGATGAGGTAGGAAAGCTTTGTCAGGACTACAGGCAGCTGAATGGCAGCCATCAAACTGACGAGGATGGTGCTGCCCAAAACTTGCTGCAGACCTTGAGTAAGTGCCTAGAGAGACAAGTTCCGCTGTGTTAGCCTCTGTATCAAAATCCCACTCAAAACTTGTGCATATAAAGCTTACCTCGGTAGCCAGGATATTGATGGTATCACCCATACTCCGGAGCATTTCTGGCTCCCACAACACCGAGTAGATGTCGCCCATGATGGGGTCGACCGTGCTGTACGGCAACCGGACGTCATCAACTTTTCCCGTCAACCAGCCCGACACTGTGACAATGAGATTGACACGCTTGTTGTTGTGGAGAGGTCGGTACTCAAAGGTCTTGACAGCGCCGGTTCGGCGACCGGCAGCCCTGCCACCAATGACGCCTCCCGAGGCCGCTGCGCTCGAGGTGATGATGGCGGCTCCTCCCGCTCCGGCCAAGAAACTGCTCGTGCCCGTGACACCAATGGTCGTGAATCCGGCAGCCAGGCCAGCTCCAATGACGGGGGCGAGCAGACCAGCCGAAAGCCCAATGACAAGACCACCGCCCACGGTAGCGAGGCCCATCATGATGTATCTCTTCTTCAAAGCCATCTTTCTCCGGTTCTCCATGTGTTCTTCCTCGTTCCAGTTTTCCTTCTCGGCTGCCTGCTGCATCTCCAATGCATCCGTAACCCTCTTTTCAAACTTGCAAATGTCTATCCATGTAATGTCTAGGCTCTTGCCGACCCGTTCCAGCAGGACTCTTGAACGGGCATCATATATTGAGTCCGCAATGAGTATCAGGAACAAGTCGCAGAGCACTGTCCACCGCAAGTCAATGTCAATCTTTTCCGTCGTCGGCATCTGCGAAGGCATCTTGACCTCGGGCAACTCCTCGCCGCTGTGCGTCTCATAAGGCGGCGGCATCTCAGCAGGCTTCTCTTCCTCGTAGGGCGGCGGGTAACGGCTGGACCTGGGAGTTCCCATCTTCTTCTCCTCAGCCATGGGATTCTGAACCCGGGAGTTGGCAAGGAGGGCCGATGTGAGGTCCTGTGCCATGACACCGTGATCTGCGAGTTGTTCAATCATGATCTGTTCCGCATCACTGATGTCCATGTGATGGTAGAGCCGAATCATCATCTTCTGACCCCACATCTTGACTGCTTCAGCGCCCATGATGACTTGCTTCTTGGCAGACTTTGTGTTGAGCTGGAGCTTTTCGGCCTCTTTGACCATGTTCACGATTTCCAGGCGGACAACGCCGACGTATGCAATCCTCTGCCCCTCGGTAAGGAGGTCCTTTGTAGCCTGCATCTGGGATACGGCGTCTCTAGCCTCGTCATCTTCGCCTATGGAAGTCCCGTTTGGGTTCTTGAATAGATATTGCGTGTGCTCGTCCATGCTCGTCGCCGACTCGGCATCTTCATCCATGATGACTCGTGTATATCCCTTTCCGGCACCACCCAGCCCTGCATAACCATACGTCTCATCTTCATCCGCATCATGTTCCCGGGCGATTAAGCGGTCGTCGTCATCATACATGTCATACCTGGCATAAGATGGCATCTCTTGCCAGCCGCCATCGTCGTCGTCCTTTTTTTCCTCCTGTACTTCTTGGCGCTGCAAGACATGCTGATGCGAGAATTCCGAGACGCCATTGGTACTCATGGGACTAGAGAAGCTTCGGTCTCGTTTCTGCGTCTGGCTGAATCCTCCGGGAGATTTTGCCTGGAGGTACTTTTCGCTCGGGTCGGTGCCCCTGTTAGGGGTCTTTGGAGTAGAAGGCCCTTCAATCGCACGAGCTCCCCTGATCGGGGATGGGGAGGCGGGAGGCCACGGGTTGTTATTTGACGGGGGAGTAAACGGCTCTTTGGGGCCGGTCTCCGTCCCGGTCTTGGGCTCCTGCTGCTGCTGTATTGGTGATGCAACTGCAGGTATGTTCCCTCGTGCTGGTTGAACATCCTTGGAACGGGTATCCTCAGAATCGCTGCTTGACGTGTGCCCATTGCTGGTTCCTGCAGTCTCCGACGTCTCTTGATGCTCTTCTTTGGACTCGTGGTGGCCATTCTGCGTCTCGCCGCCCGTATCCGCATCGTGTGTCGCATCTTGGGCGTCCGAGTCCGGGGGTTCCGCCACCGGTGCGATGAACTTCTTCATCGGCAGACCAAAGTCATCGAACTCGGCCACAGCAGTCGGCGCTGTGCTCGTTTGCGGCGCCGCGGTCGCAATCTCGGCGGCCGCCTTGGGCTCTGCATCCTGGGCAGCCATTGTCACAGCCTCAGGATATGGGAGGAGGGGTTGAAGATCACGTCCACGTCCACATCCACCTGGTTGGCACGCGCGGGCATGGATGGGACGTGACGGCGATGGGTGGAGGTTCGAAGACTCCGGGCCGAGAAGGAGAAGCAGAAGAAGAAGAAGAAGTTCGAGCCGCTGGTGTTTCTTCTTCTGCCGTCGACGCTGGAGGCCGTAAAGAGGGCGGTGTCGCAAAAGTGGTGGTTACGTCGTTAAATTAAATTTAGCGGCCCCCCGGCTAGCGGGAGGGAGAAACGTGTGCTGCTTTCGGGCTGCAAATCCGGCGCTCTCACTGCCACCCAACGCGGGATAAGCCAAGAGTATTACGGAGCAGCAGCTATTGAATAGCAATTGTTTTGGTCCCTGTCTCAGCCGGATAGAGACAAGAAGACAAGAGGCGTAATTCAGGGGAAATGGCCTCGTTGTTTCGGGCATTGATGACGGGAGCAATTCTTCAGCAGTGTTGGTGATGCAATTTCCAGAGTGGCAGTGAGTGGCTCGCATTCGTATCTTCTCTGGGGCATCTTAGTGATGTCGTAAGATGACGGGGGTTACTGAAAAAGGTTATCTATATCTTATCACGATCCAACGAGACACTCGAGCAAGACGGAATGATCTGACAGCATCCCGCACGCGCACTGCCCTGCTTTGGCCGCATCGAGATGTTTCCCCCTTACGCAGCGCTCAACCACCGGCTGCATTCCATCCAATACCATTTCGCAAAAGCAGCGAATGAAAATACCCTTGGGAGAGACACCCGCAACCGTCACTCAACTGCTAGGCCTAGTAGTGGCGCGTAATATTCTGACGAGTTGATATTTACAATCGCTTCTACCTGTACCCCGAAATGTCATAGTATTAAAACTCCTTTTCAAAACATGGGGCAATTTTCATTGCCCTCGACAAGATACCACCTATTACCACGCTTTTTTCATGGGATTCATGCTTCAACTCTCCTCTCCAGCATTGCTTGGAGCCACTGTGCTTGGTTCTGGACCGCTGGACGTTGTCCCATTCTCCGCCTTAGTCTTCTTTCTTCGCTTCCGCTTAGCTGGTGCATCTGACACAGCCTCTGGTTTCTCGCCAGCCTCCTTCTTTGGTCCCTGCTGAGGCTTCTTCTTTTTCATGGATAGAGGATTTACCCCTTTGGGGCCTCTGTTCTTTTTGAGCTTCTTCTCTGACGTAGATTCTTGTGCCGCTTTGCTTTGCTTCACGTCGTCGTCGTCACTTTCGCTTCCATCATCGTCACCATCACCCTCGCCCTCACCACCATTTCGTTCTTCCTTTTCCTCACGCTTCCTCTTGCCCAGGGTATTCTTGAGTTCTGCTCTAAACTTGCGCTTCTCTTCTCGCTCTCGAATCTGCACGCTCTCATCCGCCATGGGTTCCAGAATCATGACGCTCCGCTTGATGTATATTAACGGCACTCCTCTAATTCCTCGTAGCATTCTCCGTACGTCCAGACTCTGGCTTGCTACAACGTAGCGGTGCTTATTCTCGCCTGTTGACTTGGGATCCACAACAGACCGCATGCACTCCATGGTCTCGAGAGGTTTGGGATACTCGTTGGGGTGGTGGCCGCAGCGTCTTCGTTCGAATGTCTTTGCCAGTTCGATTGCCGCATTGACGCCAGGCTGGTCTTTCTCGGCGTAGAGTTTTCGGATCTCGCATTGGGTAATCACTATCAACGTCGTAAGCAGCGGTCTTGAGGACCGATGTCGCCGAACTCACATGGCTTCGCTTTGCCGTGAACTGTGCTCTGTAACCTGGCCTCTAGATCCATAGTGCATCGGTTCGCATCTTTAATCATTTCTGCGTCCACTGTGGTTTGAAAAAAAAAAACTGTCAGTTGCGACCATTGCACAGCATTTTTCCAGCCATTATGCAGACGAACCTAGAATCTGATATGGCTCGCGAAAGCCAAACGTCATGGAGAATTGCTCCATGAGCTTGCGGTATTGCTTTGAGCGTTTTCCTCTCATCTTGTTTGCTTGATTTGGGTCGGCTTGGGATGATTTCCACAACTTGGAACCGAGAAAAACCAGTCGTCGCGGGTGCAATGGAAATTCATACAAGCTCAGATCAAGCTCGAAAATAAATTTCTTTATCGCGTTACAGTGGAGCACGTGCGATAAAGAATTAAATGTTCATAAAAGTGGGTCGTCTGCACTACGACCCGCTCCAGCGCCGGCCGACTGTAAATCCATCCTCACCATCATTGTCACTGTGGGATGCTCTCAAGTTCTCTATATACCAAGCTCGTTCAAGAAATGCGATGGTTTTTAGAAATGAAACTTTGGATTTTAAAATATTATATTAGCATTGCTATCGGATATATAGCTGAATTTCTTCGCACATCTAAAACAAACGGAGTGCAATAAAGTAAACCATACCGACTCTGCATCATACCCACCATAACCATCCGATTGCCATTGAATCGATTATCATTAAACTCAAGCCCATATTGAAAAAGACAATTGCTCAGCCCTAGATCCAAAAACAAGACGCCATCGATGTATAAACACCAGGCACCATCTAATTCTTTTGTGTTACCGTTCCGTATCTCTAACGCATAATGCGGCAACTACACTAATATCGTCCAGTTTTCCTGTAAACGAGTTAAGCACACATCACCACTCGGACTGGGAATGAGAATAGAACAAACCTCCCTCGCTAGCGAGACCTTCCTCTATGGCGTGTTCCATGAATGGGCTCTCTGCATATGGATCGAGAGCTATCACTTTCGCAGCCGCTACTAGATCCTGAGCCACAACAGACATCCCACCGTTGCGGCCGCCCGTTCGATCTGCATCCCCATCAGCGCCTTTCCCGGCCTCCCACTCCTTGATACTTTGAAACACTCGAGTCGCAATTTCGTGTCCCCAAAGGTTGTCGATAACGCCGTCACTCATTGCAAGTACCACGTCACCTTCTTCTAGGTCTACCACATCAACCACGGCATTCTCCTTCGGGGTATCGGGGCTGTTTGTGCCGAGCTGACGGGGGCAGTCGAACCAATGCCACTGCTCTGTGGTTTTGAATACGACCCCCTGGTCCCGGGGGCGGAGGACGAGGACTTGACAGTCACCCAGGTTGGTCACATAGAGAACTGGCGTCGCATCTTGACGCCCCGCATCCGTCACCATTTTATAATGGAGTTGAGCACCGCACGCCGTCGTCGTTCCCTGCCAGTCGTGAGCACCGGTTGCTTCTTGTGTCTGCTCAAATGCCGTCTGCAGAGACGCAATGGGGTCGGGCTGGTAGGCCTTTTGCTGGAATAGGTTCTGCGCCGACTCTTCTTCGATGGCCGCCGCCCAGAAGTGCAATATCAGTCGCGACCACAACCTGTTTTCTCCGTCAGAGACGCATTCCTACAGCATGCGTTTCCGCGTCACGGGAGGGATATATGTTACCCAGCATGACCTCTGGGGCGAGCTGCCCACGCGCCTACGCCATCGTTTGCACATATGAAATAGTCGCTAGCATACACGGCATCGTCACCATTCGTAAGGCCTTTAATAAGTTCTCCATTCACAAAGGCGCGAGCTCGACGGTCCCGGCTCTGATGATGGGTGCTCAGGGGGTCTGAGAAGGATACAGAGGGAGGGGACAAGAAGGGCGGCGGGAAGGGCCGAGGCGACCGCTTTGCAAACAGCCCGATGCCCGTCTCAAAGCGAAAGGGCGGTTTCCCATACCCATACCCATGAGGCGATGGTGACTGCGATTGCGACGCTACAGAGACGAGGCTTCGCCGGCACCGACCCCGCCATAGCGGGTCAGCGAAGAGCCTCAGACGCGATGGAGATGTCAGGAAAGTCGCCAACGTTGGAGAGGATGATGTGCGCATTGCATTCCAACCATGTACAGCAAGCTACGACCTGTCGGGTCGCTGACCACGGCCGTTGCGGATGCTATCGGGAGATTGTCATTGCCCGGGTCGGAGCTTGCGAGGTATCAAGAATTAAGGTAATTAGCCGCACGTGATGGGGTGATTGGTAAAGGTCCGTATCCGGAGGTGAGCGAGTGAACGAGCTACCAGTTACATGAGGCATGTACTGTGCCTGTGCCGCATTAAAAGCCTCCCAACTCAGTTACCATTTCCTCGACCTACCCTGCAGCATCGGACTTCACATGATGGCTTTCTCGTTTCAATATCGCTAGAATATTACTTCTTGGCTTGAGCCCATTTCCCGCCTGACTGACTGGTTAATATCGCTTAGCACACGGAGTATGTGAATTTGTAATCCTCCAACTCGGCTTCGCCTGGTCCCTTTCTCGTTGAACAAAGCAAAGTCGCTATTGCAATAAGCCGATGCCACCAAATTGCATCGGAAAATATCATCACGTCCAATTTCACGGAAATGAGAGGAGGGCACCTAGATGAATGGAAGAATCCCGCAACCCGAATATCCCTCAGCCCTTTACAAATTACGGAACCCGCGTCAATGAGATGTCACGGAACCTCGATCAACACACCGACCGTCGAATATCTGGCCCTAGCAAGCGGATCAACAGCGTCGGGGGGTCTACTGTAATATTGGGAGATCGGGGCGAAGAAACAGGCTCGCTACCAAGACACGCAAGGCATGTTCAGTATTCGGGGTTTGCTACTGACACAGGAGCACAGCTAGACACTGGCGCAATGCAAGTGCATGCCCGCTAGGAAGGCGGAGCAGCAGAGCACACATGCACATCCAAGGGGGGCGATCTCCAATACCCAAGAATAGCCACATACATACATGACGATGCATTCACTGCCAATCGATTTCATTGACGTATACTCTATGCGGCCAAGACGGGTGATCGGATGGGGTACCGGCCTGAAGGTGCACGGCTCGGAAGGATTGGCCTGGGAAACCGGCATGACGGTTGCACGGCATCGCCTCAGCAAGGCTTAGGCTTATTGTGACGCGTATGATCGATGATTTGTGAGAGTCTACATAGCTGGTGCGACCGACGGTAGCAAATGGATTCGTTGTGAGACATGCAGTGACTTGCGAAGCATCATGATTCACACAAAGCGGCTGCGAGATCGAGCATCTGGAGTTGATCTTTTTTTTTAGGGGGCCTTGCATGACGTCAGGCTGCGTTGGCAGCATCAAAGCCTGATGGCGATTCGGAGACCAGCCAGACCCATGTTGGAGCTGACGAGCATTCCATCCCGACGCCTCGTACTACGACTTGTCCGGAGTAAGACAGTCGACATGTTTCCACATTCGCGCACATCATTTTAGTGTTATGCGGTGAGGGTTAGCAATGAAACCCTGGCAGTTGAGTGCCCCCCCAGATTGGGCTCGTGTATCTCACAGCGGCGTGTTATTCCAAATGGCTACAACGGATTGCCGTCCCGTCCGCGCAGCACTAGCAATAAGCGCTGACAACTTCCGTCTTTCTCGTATGCGCTGGGAGAGCCGGGTCGTGTCACAATCTTGTCTCAGAAAGCCGCGTTGGAGGTGAGGCTTTGACGACTGAACCTTGAGCATCCTGGGCAGCCCATTGGCAGACGAGAATTGCGGATTCTGCTTGGCAGCTGCGCCGCAATTGTTGAGAGTTTCGGCTGACGGCGTTGGGGGTTGTACCCGAGTCGTTGATTTCATAGCAGCGTCTTGTTGCTCGGTGTAATTAACAGGCTATTGGAGGATGGTTGAGCAGAGTTGCCATGCTTTTGCAAGTAGCACTCTCCGCTTATCTAGACCAGATGCGGCGTCTGGCGCTGGGTTAGCATCGCCCGGAGTGGCTCGGGAGATGGACCAGAAGTTGTGTCAATGAGGGTTAGAATTACAACGGCAGATACATACATGGCCTGTACGAGGTACAAAGCTGGGATTCGGAGGAGAGCTAAGCGAGCACAGGGGGGGGGGGGGGGGCTTTGAGAAAGCTTTTGCCAACTGAATGGAGGGATGGAAACCGCGAGAACAAAAGAGGAAAAGAAGATTTGATATCAATTAGTATCAAAGAAGACGAAAACAAAAGGGAGCGTCTATTTCGGTACTAGCTTCTGCAAACTACCTAGAGGTAGTTACCTCTTCTACCTTTGTTCTTGCGTCTGCCAAAATTCCTCTAGCAGCTGATACAATGACTACTGGGTAACGTTGAATTTTGAGACACGGGATTACTGGATAGCCAACTTGGACAAAAAGAGAGAACGAAACAAAGTGCGCTACAAGTTCCTGCATGATGGCGCCTTTAGTGGTGTGACGTGATGCATGACAATGGATACCTCGTGGATTGTGCATTTCCCACGTCAAAGGCGGTATGCGCTCACAGCCGGTGGTGAAGAGCGGCTAGGAGTGCAACGAAACTGTGCCTGCAGCAGGGCAACGTGAATGAATGTAATTGAGGGAAAGCGTTTCGATGGATCGATGGGTTCAATGATTACAGCCCATATTTCGAGTGCAACCTGAGCCCCTAGAAGAGCCCCGCCAGATTGGTTGGGTAGCGGGATTGAGTGTTTTGGCGGCAAAAGCGCCGTGGCCCTTGTTGGCGGTTGAATGAAAGGGCCTCAACTCCATTCTTTCATCTTCGAGTACCTATCCGTACATGGATACAACCTGTGCGAGTACATTTACGAGGACCTACAGTACTTGCTCAAAGAACTCACGCACGCCACGCCACGCCAGCCACGCACATGGACCCGGTTGGCAGTCAATCAATGATGGCATGTATGTACATCCCAAAGCGGAACACGCAATATATAATTTTATTCTGGAACCCGCCGATTATGGCGCAAAAGGCGAGCCCATCTAGAAGCCTTGTGCAGCTGGAAATGTATAAGAGTGCGGGCAGGCTCACCAAGAGTCGATAGGGGGCTTGCGCGCCCCACCAACCACGTACGGGGCATCCGGAGCTACCTGACGATAGTCGCTCAAATTTACGGACTGTCTCTGTGTCTAGCAGCAAGTAGCACCAAGGTTGCTTGGCCCAGACCCCTGCGGGCGCAAGAATGGCAAAGAAGAAACGCCCAGCATCTCTCGTTACGAGA